CGAAAATTGAATATCGATCAATACCGTAAATCAGTGTCAGAAAATTGTCCAAGTGCAATGACAATTTGTACTCATTTTTCAGGTACTTACCCCTCTAATTTATTCAACAAATTAAGTCGGATAAAAGAACGATTCGTATCAATTTTTATTTTTTTATAAAGAAATTAGAAAATCAGTCAGTACCGAAAATTGAAGACCGATCAATATTTAATTTATTCATCAAAATAACGCGGATAAATGAATGATTCGTATGAATTTTTTTTTCTTATAGAGAAATGAAAGAGTAAATCAGTACCGAAAATTGAATATCGATCAATACCGTAAATCAGTGTCAGAAAATTGTCCAAGTGCAATGACAATTTGTACTCATTTTTCAGGTACTTACCCCTCTAATCTTATTCAACAAATTAACTCGGGTAAACGAACGATTCGTATGAATTTTTTTTGTCTTATAAAAAAATGAAAAAAATAAATTAGTACCGAAAACCGAAGACTGATCAATACCATAAATCAATGTCAAGAAAATTGTCCAAGTGCAATGACAATTTGTACTCATTTTTCAGGTACTTACCCCTCTAATTTATTCAACAAATTAAGTCGGATAAAAGAACGATTCGTATCAATTTTTATTTTGTTATAAAGAAATTAGAAAATCAGTCAGTACCGAAAATTGAAGACCGATCAATATTTAATTTATTCATCAAAATAACGCGGATAAATGAATGATTCGTATGAATTTTTTTTTCTTATAGAGAAATGAAAGAGTAAATCAGTACCGAAAATTGAATATCGATCAATACCGTAAATCAGTGTCAAAAAATTGTCCAAGTGCAATGACAATTTGTACTCATTTTTCAGGTACTTACCCCTCTAATCTTATTCAACAAATTATCTCGGGTAAACGAACGATTCGTATGAATTTTTTTTGTCTTATAAAAGAATGAAAAAAATAAATTAGTGCCGAAAACCGAAGACTGATCAATACCATAAATTAATGTCAAGAAAATTGTCTAAGTGCAATGACAAGTTGTTTTCATCTTGCAGGTACTTACCCTACTAATTTACTCAACAAATTAAGTCGGATAAAAGAACGATTCGTATCAATTTTTATTCTCTTATAAAGAAATTAGAGAATCAATCAGTACCGAAAATTGAAGACCGATCAATATTTAATTTATTCATCAAATTAACGCGGATAAATGAACGATTCGTATGAATTTTTTTTCTTATAGAGAAATAAAAGAGTAAATCAGTACCGAAAATCGAATATCGATCAATACCGTAAATCAGTGTCAGAAAATTGTCCAAGTACAATGACAATTTGTTCTCATTTTTCAGGTATTTATCCCTCTAATTTTCTCAACAAATTAACTCGAATAAGCGAATGTTTCGTATCAATTTTTCTTGTCTTATAAAGAAATGGGAGAATAAATCAGTACCGAAAATTGAAGACCGATCAATATTTAATTTATTCATCAAATTAACGCGGATAAATGAACGAGTCGTATCAATTTTTTTTCTTGTAGAGAAATGAAAGAGTAAATCAGTACCGAAAATCGAATATCGATCAATACCAGAAATCTGTGTCAGAAGATTGTCCAAGTGCAATGACAATTCGTTCTCATTTTTCAGGTACTTACTTTTCTAATTTATTCAACAAATTAACTCGGATATATAAACGAACGATTCGTATTAATTTTTTCTTCTCTTATAGAGAAATGAAGAAGTAAATCAGTTCCGGAAATCGAATATCGATTAATATCGTAAATCAAAATTTATATTGCTGTTTGGTTCCATCGTCAAAAGACGTTTTCTCTATCCTAGTCCTAACTTGTAGAAAATTTGGTACTCATCTCTATTTGACAAAAGTACGTCGGACTTTCTGTACTAACTAATATAAAAATTTTTTTTTCATTCTTATTTTTTCTACGTCTAATATTTCAATACCGAATCTGTCGAAATAAACCGGTCTACAAAAATCCTGGAAAGACATTTCTCTCTCTTTCTCGCTCTCCTCTCTCTTCGTCTCTGAATCGCCGCTAACGATCGAAAACCGCAAGCGGAAAATAACGAAAATTTATTCATCCAACTAAAATGTTCTCCGTGTTATTTTTTAAGCATTGGATAAATACCGATCCGGCGTTTTGTCAAATATCTAACAAAAGTACCTCCGTTTTTTTCTTGCCGACATTCAAATTGATAGTTTTCTACAAGTTAAGATTTGATAAAAAAAAGTCTTTCCCGAGTCGAAATATTAATTCTACATTGATCCTGCAAATTGCATCCAATTTGAAAAATCAATGCAGAATATCTAGATGCGCAATAGTGAACAAGCTTTGTCCTACCTGAACGTTACATCTGGTTACTCTCGCAGTCTCGGCCATGATGAGTCTTCAACAGCGACGTATTCCGCAGTTATTTAATACTCGTTTATCGCGATAATGTATATGTACTTAATCCTTATATTCTTAATTTAAATGAGCAATTTTTGTTGATGTTGATTATATATTTGCTTAACAGCGCAAGAAAGAGAACAAAGATAAAAACGTAAATAGAACTGCCTTTGTTAGAACTGCGCGTGAGATAAATATATAAGGATTAAATAATCATATAAGAATTAGAGGAAATGGGAGATGAAAAACACTTTTAATTCTCATCATTCTTAAAGTTTTTTTTTTCCTTTTTTCTTCTCTTTCTTTTTTTTTCTTTTTTCTAATGAGAATGATGAGAATTGTAGCTCTCAAAAGAGCTGAAGCTGCAAAAAGACAACGGTTATGTCTAATAATGCTATTTCACTAATAGAGATTTTAATTCAGATTCGGTACAATAAGAAAGATAAACGAGAATGAGAAACGGATATTCTAGAAGATTCTAAACGAAAACTGCAATCTGAGCATTATTAGACGAATAAAAATCAACACTTGTAAAATTTATATCAGATTCTAAGATCATTATTCATAGTTTTCTAAATTATGTGCAATTTTTCATTGAGAACATAATTACAAATTTGTATTCATAAACCTTAGCTTGCCTCAGCAACCTTGCTTGAATAGACATTCATATTTTATGAGAAAAGAAAAGTAGAACTCATGTTACGTGAAATTAAGTTAACGAATAATCAAATCTCAAGCTATTTTATCATTTTTCAGATGATAAACTATGAATGCTGATCTAATTTCGACTCGGGTATGTCCTTACTTCGAGTAAGGTCCGTTAAAATCAGAAAAATCCTGCGTAATAATAATGACTCGAGGTACCTCGAAGCATACCATACATGATGTATCGCTGTCCACGTCTCTCGGCGCGCTCCAAGTCCTCTCTCCATCCTGACTTCTCGATCCGACGTCCTCCTTCTGGTTACTCCGTCGCAGCATCCCCGGATACTCCATCGTAGCACTGGCGACGACACTGACTCTAGCTCTAACACTCGCGCAAGTAAGATTCGGGGACAAAGAAACGCGTATTAACCGATACGACTACCGACATACTCTGCGTCGCGGTATGCGCGTCGTTCGTCGGCCCGAGGCGCAATATCCTTTCCGCAATCACGGAGTCATATATAAGCGTACAAAAACAAACAATCGGGAAGGCACGGTTACCTCCCACCTTGCCGATCAGTGTTGATGCTTGCGTCGTCCGTTAGCTGAAAATGAAAACAACTCGTGTTTTCAAAGCATGCCTGTGAGAGACTCGCTTCAAACTTCACAATACTTATTTACATCTGTTCCAAGAATCATATTACGCCGAATTCAAACTGTCTCTATTGACATGACATACACGAGATCTGCGATCGCATCATTGATCTTTCTTTGGACAAGAAAATCCTGAGAGGAACGCTGTTCGAGAATATCACATTTTATGTTTCAGGTGCCTTGCAGATTATCGAATCCGACGTAACAGATCAGGGAAAGTATGAATGCGTCGCTATGAATAACACGCGTGAGCATGGAGTATTCCAAGTCAATCACGTTATACGTGAAACGTACGTATATTTAATATTATATAAAACTTACCTTTTTAAACAAAAAGGTAAAAAAAAGGCGCCAAGTACAAGCGCAACACGTATTGTGTTATTTTTAGAAGTATCAAACTCAAATTATTTTTTTTATTGTATATATGTGTACATAAGTTTTTGCAAGTAAAACTTATAACTATAATAAAACTCTGCAACACTTGTCTACTGTACAAAAGAAGTGATATATTAGAACAGTAGCGCCAACTGAGAAACCTAACAGATATATATATGATTATTGTATGCTTAACTTAATATTTTTAGAAATCTAAAATTCAAAATATTTTCTTTTTTAAGATATATATTATGTACATAACATAAGTTTTTATAATATATGTACATTTAATATATGTACAAACTTTTCAAAATAAAAATTATATCGTGTTATAAAAATTTAACACGTTTGTTAATAGTGTCCAATATTTAAAAGAAATATCTTTTCAAAATAATATGTACTCGTCTTTGCACATGTTAACATGTTAATTCATGTTATAAACGCGTAACAATGTGCGAGACCGTGCTTGTCAAGTACGCTGTTATGGTTGTAGCACGGACATAAACCGCCTAAAAATGGATGTAACACGGACTGCCACCACATACAGGTTTTACCACCAAGACCTAAAAGTGGATGTAGCATCGTAATTCTCCTCTCAAAATGGATGCAGAAGGCGCCCATTTCCAGTGAGAAAAATCGGTGTCGCCGAAAACGCCGTGTTGTCCGCTCTCAGCTTCCTCTCTGATCGTAGACAAATGTTGACGCTGATCTACAGACACAAAAAGTTAGACTGCGCACTCGCGTATAGCACGACTAATGATGAAATTGGATAATGGGGATATGCTGAGTTGGGGTAATTTCGCTGTAATGCTACAGTAGGGAGTTGAAGAGGAAACAGGAGAGAGAGAGTGAAATATAGCGAAAAGAAAACAAAACACGTTAATATGATGCACACACACAATTATATAGACAAGAATAATATTTATTTCTCCATCAGCCTGTCTTTTGCTCTAATGATTTTATTTTTATCATATCATATGTATAATAATTAAACTTAAAAATTAATATTTCTCTTATCATGATACGTAAGAAGATTTATACACGTATAAATATATTGCGTCACCTCATATATTAATTATTAATAAATAAAAACTTTGCCAACTACAAACAGCAGAGAAAATAGACTGCACAATTCTAGTCGCTGCGCACCATTTTGGTACCATTGAGATAACAGTGCTGAAACAAAATGAAAGATTCCTACTACTCACAAGGTACATCTTGCACTCTTACAAGATCACGTGTGATGTTGTCAGATAATATTATTTTAAAATCAACCTCTATCGTCGTGACTTGCAATCCAACCGATCACAGGCTGCATCTCATTCTGTCGTTTTAACCACGCATTCAAAGGCTCAAAATATTTGAGCATGGCACCAGCATCTATCCTATTCGTCCTACCTCTCGTCATCTGCCTGACAACATCCTGCCATGGTCTCGAAGCTCCCATCGACAGAACGTCCCTATAAATATGAAGACATTGTTTTGTTGGTATGCTTATTACTAATAATCGTCATTTAAATGAGAATTTTATAAATTTTTCTACCCACATATTATAGAGCTCTTTATACGTACGATAATAATCGACCTGCTTCTCGTGACCTGTAAAGATCGCAAGTGTGCAACTCGCCAATGTGACCAGAGATTTCGCACAATGACTGGAACAGTTGGAACTGTAGAGCAACGCCTACAAAATACCTAAAAATTGACGAGTGCATGAAGGTAACACGAATTCCACATGAATTCCATTCAAGATGATAAGTCGATATCTATGTCCTTACTTAGCATAAGGACTGTCCGCTGGGATATGATACTTTGCAGCTGGATCGAAATTTCTTTCGGATCTAGGCACTGGTGGAACAATACCCTGATACTGCAGTCTCAATTCCCACCAGTGTGCTGTCATATCTTCCACACCATCGCTAAAGACACGCCACCTCCACTTGGAAAAAAATAAACATGTACATTTGACGACTATTCAACTATATATTCTAACTTAACGGTTTTTCATCTTGAAAAAATCATTTTGCGCATAAAAAATTTTGTATAACTTTACCTGGTCAACTATGTAAGCAAACGGCATATAAGCTACCTTACGGAGAGCCATTAACATTAGAAAATTTATGTTACTGTCATAATCATTCGTTAAATTACTGTGAAACCCGATTTTGTGTAAATGTTGAGGAGTAAAAATGGATAAACCAATTGCATCGCTAACAGCTTCGCGGAAACCTGATGAAAAATGATTGTTGACAGAAGAACAAGTTGTGTCAAGTGGATAAAAAAGACGTACCAGGGATCGCTTCATTTCGAAATAGTAACGGATGGTCTTTGTATTGCAAATAATATTGCAAGTGTGCCATTTCGTAATGCGTCGACAGTAGATCTTCTAATGTAGCTCGGGTACATTGCTTTATCCTATAATTATATGAAAAAGGTACGATTTCTCAGGGAATTGTACAGTTGTAACACAATATAATGTCGCGCGCACTCGTATATATGAACGAGAAAAAAGCGCAGCTTTAAAAAGAACAATAAAGCAACTGGCCTGTAATCGATTTTATTGCAAAAGTCCCACGCGCTGGGACTACATTTAACGTCCCTATCAATAGGTTTCTCGAACATGGAGAATTTCCAGAATTCTGGCGGCATTGGCTTCATTCCGAGTGAAGTGAAGAACTCCTCGGCTATTTGAAACATCCTATTCATCGCAAAAGAACATTTTTTTCGTAACGTTATTCATATCGTGTAAATGTTTATAAAAGTAAACTATCCCCCTCTCCCATCTGAGACATACCTCAGTGGAGTGATGCCCTGGATCATCATTTCCAAGGTCACATCGAGCTTCCTGCTTGCAGGGAAAGGTTGCACCAACTCGAACAGGTTTTCCCAATTTTGGGCCCACATATTTCCCAAAATATGCGCTGGTAAAGGCCCATCCTCGCGTATTTTGTCACCGTATCTCTCGATCAGTTTCGATCGCACGTAAGTAAAGAGATTCTTATAGAGCGGTGTTATGGCTGACATCACCTTCGCTATGTTTTGCTGAAAATACTCATCTTCGAATAATTCCTTCATCTGATCCCCAGCGTCAGCGAAACCTTTCACAAGGAAACATGTTGCGTATCTTGTACGTTTTCAAAACCCATTATTCTAAGGATACTTGTATGATGAGTTAAAATATTGTTTCTATCGTAACTGAAGCTTCGCACATACCATTTAATTGCGCTGCTCGATTGGCCAGTTGAACGTATCTCAGATATTTATTTTTAAGTTTCGGCCCGACCGCTTCATGCCAAGCATGCCAATAATACAATAATTCGTCGTAGTTTGTTGACTGCGCCATCAGCTTATTGATATCTGAAAACAATTTGCATACATAGGAAAATGTATACTACACATTGTAACGCGTATGTTATTTCTGCAACCAACCGTGATCTAGACTCAAATTGCAGTTAGAATCAACATATTTGTATGGACATATTTTGGCTTTAATATAGATTTCCTTCATCTCGGTCATTAAGCGATGTATCTGAAAATTAAATAAATAAATTAAGACAATTTTTACCTGAAATTAGAGTAAGAAAATAGTTTGTATCTTCTAATACTTAATAATGACAATTCTAATTACCTCGTTAAATTTATCGTCAGTCAAGGAACTTCGACCCTTCGTGGCAATCATTTTAAGTTCCCTTCTTGCTAAAGGATCTGGTATTCGACTCCAGGCAAAAGTAACTGCCTTCCGCCAAGAAGCTCTCTCGAACTTTAATTTCAATGTTTGCTCATCCACCTGAAAACCGGACAAACAGTTGTAAACAGATCTAATGACCTATAGATTGTAATTATTTCGTCAATTTCTTTCAGTTACAAAATATATGTTTCACCATTTTCTGATGGTTCGCGTCAGTAATATTTGTCGCGAAATTCCACTGGGCCGTCATTACCCTCGTGCACATTAACGAAGCTGCGCTGTCATATTCTCTGAGGAATAAAAGGGCATCTCCTAAATTCACGTTGAGACCCTTCGAGTGAAACGTAGTGGAAAAAAAAAACATTTAGAAAATGTTGATTAAAATTTCCAATTTGCGATTAACTGTAGTTTCCACAAATTGTGAATCAACTCGCGACCTCACCTCTAAATATTTCCCATGTGCTTCTCCTTGCAACAGAATAATGAAGAAAACGATGAAGACACAAATTCCCACTGCCTTCATTCTCCGTCGCTGCAGATTCATCGCTGCACCAGCAATTGATATAACAAGCTTCGTCGCGCACGTTTTAAAATGTTTCTCATTCTCAAGGAGAATCTTGGCCTGCCGCAGTGCACAGGAATGAGCACAACTTAAATTGAAAGTCTAATCCGTCCCTAGCAGAGATCAAACATGACCCAAACGAAATGTGATTAATGTCGCACGTCCAAAGTTTCAGCGAAGATGAATTGTCGAGAACGACATCGTACAGACGCGCGCAATATTCCTTACATTTGTAGACTTTAGGACGATCGATCGCACGCTGCTGTCTCGACAACCGTTTGAAGAGTCAGCGGTTCGATGTTGTCGCGGCAAAACTGAATCGTGGCAGAAAGAGAGACGGGCCTTTCCGGGACGGATATTCCACGGGCGAAAAGAGGAAGGGACAGGCACTATCGGTGCGTGAAGCGTAACCACCCAACATCGCATCGTGGCACACGCCAAAATTTTCTTCTAGTGCTTTAACTTCGCAATTGTTCGATTAAATGTGCCGTAGGAGTTAATCCGTGAAGATTTCCGACGTCTCTGTGGTCTGGTATTTTTAAATTATAAAAGTGTGATTTATGGTACTTTTGCATTTCCCTCTCGCTCCGCAAGTGGGCTATATGGTTGAAAAAATATTTTGGAACGACATAATGTGCTTTTTTTCTTTATTAAATGTGCTTTAATGAAGAAACGTGCACTACGAAGCTGTTCAGTGACAAAAACGCGCCTTGCACAAAGCGGTACATAAATGAGCTAGCTTCATCCTGTAAGAAGACACCGTAACTTTAATTACTTGGTAGCTCAATCAGTGACGGCATGACCGTGCGATAATTGGTGTGCAGAACTGTCCCTTGTGTTTTATGATTAATCTCACAAGTCTGATGTTATCCTCGATTATCAGTGCTGCAAGTAACAGAATTTAAATCTTCTTGGTGCTTTAATATAAATTTTATTCGCATGTTTTTTATTATAAATATTTTTTTCATAAAAACAAACGTAATTTTTTAAGTTTATTTGTAGATATAGTAAAGTATAACACGTAGAACAAGATCTCAGGTGAAGATCATTGCTGGGATATATTGTATTTACAAGGCAATTTTAACTATTAGATGAGATCGGGAGCAAGATTGCGATCTCTTAAACTCAGGTCCGCAAAAGGAGTTATGACTCGCTGCTCATAAGCATCTGTCCAGAACATTTCCGACAACGGTAAATCCATTTTCTACGCCTGCAAAGGTAGAGGCACATTGTATTTCCGTGCGATTACACGCGACTGTACCTATTGTTATATATGATTTGAATTTTCAGTCAAATCGTGGATAGATTTTTCGACCCTCCTGAAAGCAGAAGATTCAAGGATCAGAGATGTATGTTCATCTAATAAAATATTCGATTGACTTTCAATCGTATCCTCAACAACGACTTAATATCGCTACGCAGATGACACACTTCGTACGGTTATTACCTGCTGGATTTGAAGGTTGTTTGCTGAAGCTTCCTTTGCCTGTGCAATTGTTTGTGCACTTTTTGTAATTTCTGCAGTTCTGTGTGTATCTTGATGCAATCCAGAACTTCCGGGACCTAAATTCATAATCGCGACTGCTTTTGTAAGAATAATCAAGCAACGGATATTCTTTTGTACAAATTCATTTTTTTCAAATTTTTCGTCATCTGTTCGCGCGAAGAATGTGTTGTTGCAAAATTGCGTATAAGGATATAAGGAATGTTACGCTAAAGTTGTCCATCAGCTCCGTCAACGACTTGACGTGCGCTTGTGTTTTCTCTATTTCGACGTTCACGTCGGCTCGTTCCGTTTGCAGTTTCGCCATCTCTTTCTTTCGAAGAGCAATCTCAGCTCTCACTGCATTCACAGTGGACACCAAGCTGCTCAATTTTTCCTTGTGTCTGGTCAGTGCGATGCTGCGAGAACCTGAGTACAAAACGAAAAGATTCACGTACTGCGATGTTCACGACGTAATTATTAGTTACCCGCGATCTTCTTCATTTCGAGCATATGCTGAGTCTTCTCGTCGATTTTTCGTATGCAATCTTGATTTTCTATGTTCAATTGTTCAAAGTCTACAGCGCGTAGAGCCTCGCCGAGTTCTTGTCTATGCTTCAGCTGCTGCTTGGCTTTCCTTTTCTGGATCTTTGTGGTCATTGTCTTCATCCTGATTCGCTCCATTATAGTATCGGCTGCTTTCAAGCATTCTTCTACGAACCTACGAGTGAAACTCATATCTATCCTTCTTCATCAATTCTGCACATCCACATGTATTTAGTTCACCGAGAAACTTCTTCGAATTTGTCGACAAGATTGAACGGAGAGAATCCGAAGCAGTTTTCTCATCAACCCAATAATAATCAATACTACTAATGCGTAATTATAAGATAATTATTACGACACCTGACAAACTTCTCGGCCGGTATTTTCCCCGTAATACTATCTACGCCTTTTTCTACCACATCTTTCTCGAATCTCTCCCTCATCTCGGAAGTTTCGCGAATGCTAATCTCATTCTCTTTTATTTGCGCTTGCAGGTACATTTTGCGTTTCACCGCTTTCCGTTCAACCTCCGTTAATTCTTTTAATAGCTGTTGGATTTCAGTGTTCACCATCTCGATGCGATGTGCATATGGGATTCTATGGTTCGACGTAATTGGAGGAAACATTTGATGATCGAAGACGAAGTGCGTGATAACGAATCTAGTGGCTATTTGATAAACTAACTTTGCTCCTGCCTTTCCTATTCTAGATGCTAAAATACTCGGCGTGGCGTATCGGCTTCCGGATTGTATGCTGACGAGGCTTGTTGCATCCTTATCCTGTATAGTCATAACACTTCCGTCCATAACAGGTGACAGAGGAACGTGCTGAGGCACGATTTTTTGCACGCGTTTAGCGGTTTCCAAGATTTGCGTTATTGCTGGACGAAGTATATTAAAGATTCAAGTTAACTTTCTTGCATCTTAAATTAAAGTTGGTAGACTTAACTGTGTTAATGTGAAAGCTGACTTAAATGCGACTTAAATTCGATAGAAAGAAACCAAAAAGTGAATGTAAGTTACTTTGAAGACTTTCAGGATTTTGACGTAAAAGATGTCGTTCGAAAACGTCATTTTCTAGCTTCAATAACAAGTTCGACTGAGCGATATTTTCGAGCGTCTGTCGTAATTCTGAGTCCGTCATATCTGCAGAACATTAAAGCTTTCTGTCATACTTTAATTTCATGATTACAACTCTAAGGATACTCTTACCTTCGTAATAAGATTCGTCTAGTTTAAAGGTTAAACCTAAAGAGCCCAGATTGAAAATACTACTTTGTCGTCGCGACATTTTTATTTTTTAATCCTAATCTTTAGCGGTTAGTAAACATTTTACGATATTAAAAGAATATCGCATGTGTGATATATAACATAGAAAATTCCTTCTGTTCTTATTTAGCTGCACGGAGAAGGCGATCGAGATGGCGCGTGATGGGCGATTAGATCCTAGACGTCACTCTCTCTCTTTCTTTCTCCAGCTTTCTCTATCTCATTTTCCAAAGTCGTTTGATTGTCGTACATTTCACAATTTCTTTCAATATGTATCACTTGAATACAGAGAAATAACTTTCAATTGCTTTCACGTATCGGTTTTTACCAAATAATTTCAGGAGATTCGAAACTAGCAGATTTTTGATGATTTTATTACATTTTAGTGTACAAGACATACGTGGTACATTATCATTGATTAAATCTAAACATTTTGTGACAAAATAGCATTTCTGAAAAATATATTTCACTCTTGTGCAATCACATTCAATGACATGTATAATTTATAATTTACAATATTGCGTTGTTATTTAATGTGTAGGTATAAAAATCTAGATAGACAAATTGACATGTTTCAGCTAGGATTCCGCCAACAGAGCTTCTTGCTCTATTTCCATATCATTTACATATAAAACGTATGCTATACCGATTTCCTTTTGTTCTGAACTGTAGGATCTAATTGCGGCCGGTAAGTCGCTAATGGAGAAGAGAATTTCCGCACCGCCATCCATAAATTCGTTCTGTATGAAGTTAAAAAATATATTAAATTTCTCGTATATAAAAAGTATTGAAAGATAGAAATAAGTATTGAAACAATAGTCACTATGAATATGAATGACAGAATTGCATATTTAATACATTTTATTTCTAGTCTCACCTCAACTTCCACCTCTTGTCCGTTCACCCAAACACTATGTGCTTGTTTGTCTGCAAATGTTATGAAGATGAAAAGAGATTTACAAAGTGTTTGAAAAAATAATTATAATATAATTTTGTATCTCTGTTAATTACCCAGTACAATTCTATATTCGTCATTTCCAACTTTAGCCAACCAGGTCTCCAGTATTTTGGATTGCGACTGGATAAACTGCTTGTAACTCTTCCCGTTCACCCATAACGAGTAGGAATATTTCAGACCTATTGAATTATCATATAATGGAGTAACAAAATATTCATCATCGCAAGTACGGACGGACGATGATCTACCTGGCATTGGATCGACTCTGATTACGAACTTAGTGTTGTTGAACATGAAGACTTCGTCACCGACGAGACGAAACATCCAATCCCGGTGAACAATTTCTTTGCCATCAACCTTCACAACACGCTTGCCTGTCGCTGTCCCATGCTCAAACTCCACCACATGATTTCCATGGTTCATAGGGACGGTCCATTTGGCAGTAGGTTCGTTCATTGATGTTTCCAAGTTGTGGAGACTTCTAGAAACATATAGAGAAGCACAAAAATATATATTAAATAGTATTAAAATAACTATAAATAATATAAGAAGAGGATGAAGTGAAGAAATATTCTCTTTTACGTAAAACTATACGAATATACAACAAAGCCATTACTAAATAAACCAAAGGGTCCACACAGCGATCGATATCGATTTGTTACATTTGAAATTTCTGACAACGATACAAAAAGCTACAGGATTAACGATACAGTTTGCGATGAAAAATTCTGCGTTTAAGTGTAATAAATGACGTAGATAAATTTGAATAAAACGTTTTAAGCGAGGAAAACAATCGTTGTCGTGTTATGTGTTGCTATAGCGGGGATTCTTGCTGTTTCACCGCTCACAGAAGTACACGTGTACTACGGAAGCTTGATCTTACGTAGATAGTGTATATAAATTTGAGACAGTAAGACTATTTATAATTATGAGAATTAACAGCGATGATTTGTGCACTAAATAATACCGTAAGAGTAAGCAATCTTTTTATTTAAAACTATGTCTTTTACTCACCGAAGTAAAGCGCCTGCCATGTCTCCCAGCTGCACCTGTACTGGCCTCGTTATTGATCGCCCTTACCGTAACTATCCTCCCGCAATCAATAATCATTTTATCGTACGACATACGTAGTATTACTTCTTTACACAATGTTGCAGGGAAATAAGATTTCCTAACTGTCTAGTTATTTTGATGCTAAGATATAGTTATCGCGGCAATACGCAAGACAATACAAATAATTAAAATGGGATACAACAAAAGAATTTTTACTTATAACATCGATAAAAATTTGTCATTTGATTGGTATGTACATGTGTACGTAATGTTATACAATCTCAATTAAGTATCACTCTTATATGCGAGATATATTGTTGATAAAGGATCGAAATGATTAAATACGTAAGTATCGTGAAATTTATTATAATGCAAATATGTGGTGCATATAAAAACAATGGATATACGTAATAACAATATACGTAGTAACTTTCTCATTTGATGTATCGACTTCAGTTAGTGTGGGCAGGTAGCAATTTACCTGAACACGAACCAAATCCAATTCTGTAACCATCGCCGACACAGTAACCTGGAAAGCGAGTAAATCGCTAGTAAGTCGCTATGTAATTTCGAACATGCTTTATTACATGGTGACTGCTTTATTTGCTTACCGCGAATAATCACTTCATCACCATCTTGAAGGAATTTTCTTGTGGTGCCGTCTTTCAATGGAATATTTTTCGTGCCTTTCCAACATAATTCCAACATAGAACCGAAAGAGTCAGGAGTCTAAAATAAATATTTTATATCGTCATGGTTATATGATCATCATCATACATACAATTTTATAATTGTGAAAATACCGCAATATTTCATGGGGAATTATAATTACCAAATATAATTAATAATAAGCTATTTTTTGGACGTACCTCCCCGCTTATAGTGCCGGAAGCCATTAGGTCACCAGGATTAATGTTGCATCCGGTGACGGTATGATGCGCCAATTGTTGTCGCGGAGTCCAATACATGTGTTTGTAATTGCTACGACATACAGTTGTAGCTATGCCATTGGAAGCTGCTGAAATAAAATTATAATTATCAACAATTAATGAAAAAAAAAAAAGAAAAAGATGGAGAGAAACAGAAATGTATTAATTTACATTTGATATCAACTTCCAACTTAATGTCAAAGTTGCACGACTCGGGATGTTGCAAATACGGGAATGGTACTGGATCTTGAACCATATTCGGTACTTTGAAGGGTTCTAGAGCTTCCATCGTAACTATCCACGGAGAAATCGTAGTTCCCAAATTTTTGGAACCGAATGGACCCAATGGAATGTATTCCCATTTCTGAATATCTCGTGCTGCGAAACAATTGAAAAATGCAGAATTGAAAATAATATAACGCTTGAAACAAAAATAATGAAGACAATTTTTTTTTATTGTAGTATATCGCACCACTCCAATCGTTCATCAAAACTATCCCAAAAATGTGGTCGAAAGCCTTCGAAGCTGGCACAGTATCACCAAGATTTGTAGGTGGTCCGCCGATAAAGAAGGCAACTTCGAGTTCAAAATCCATTAGTCTGCAGGGTCCGAAGACTGGTGCTGCGCCTTCAACAGGGAGTGTTTGACCACGTGGTCGTCTTATGGGTGTGCCAGATATAACAACGGAACTCGCTCTTCCGTGATAGCCGACCGGCAAGTATTTCCTATGTACATAATGGGAGTACTTATTTTTAAGTCTTTAAGTCAACAAACTATCCAAATGTAATAACGCAATAAATATATTACCAATTCGGCATCAGCGCGTTTTCCTTGCTACGAAACATGGTGCCAACATTTGTAGCGTGATTGATAGATGAGTAAAAGTCTGTGTAGTCGCCAATTTTTGCTGGCACGTGCATCGTAGCATCTTTCTGTGCGACTAAAACTCTACAAAAGAAAAATACGTTAAGAGAAAAATTATAATTCCAATAATTCATATTTATTATTAATCTTCATTTATTGCTTCCTCACTTTGAGCGAATTTCTGCACTTTGCAAGGTAGGGTTGCCTGTAGACAGCAATTCTTGAAGTTTTGATCTTGCTTCCAGCCATGCTGGTCTTCCAAGAGACATAAAATCGTTGAGATAATCACAACGGAATACATCCTGTTTATCCTTCAATAGCGGTCCATCGAAATAATTTGCGATGGCACTCAAATCCAAAATTTCGTCACCAATTGCTACGCCTATTCTTTTCTCTGACTGAAATATTTATAATATGTAATATTGAGTATAAATATGTAATATTTATAATATATAATATTGAGATACTTTCTATATCATATCAATAAAAAACGAAATCACCAAAAATAAATTACAATAAAAATTTTTATTAATATATAGGGAACCTATTAAATTGTCAGTGTGCATGTATGTACTTTAGTATATCATTAAAAAATGTTTGTTTTTATAAAATTTTAATACCAGGATATAGTATTTGAATTTATCAAACGATAGTAATATACCAACTGATGGTATTACATAAAATTCCTTGTTACTAACTGGCGCTGGATATTACAACCCAGGTTGCGTTCAGCAGAATGAAGCAAATGGCGTATGCTTAGTAAATCTAATTGGTGTTTACTGTTGAATAGAGTCTAGATTCCAAAGTATACACCAATCAGACTCTTGAATCACTAGTTACTTATCAAGCATCTCGTTCTGTGTCGAATGCAACATAAAAAATATATTGCTCTCTTTATATGTAAGAATGTATGTGAGAATAAGGAATATCATTTATATCCCATATTTTATTTCACACATTATAATATCCCTGGGACATTTCTTTGAAATATATACGTAATATATACGCACATTTTCAACACGATATAACCTATAATTTCACGATGAAGATTGGAGAGAGATGCTTGTATCCATATAACTGCTGAATCATACGACGGAAATAAGCTACGATTAAATATGACGTATCTTACTCACTTTATTCTTTGTAGAGAAGACTCCGTACGGTAAATTCTCGATCGAGAAGTCGCAATCTGGCGAATAATTGATGAAAGACTTCATGGTTACAGCAACTGCAAAGGTCTGTCGTCGAAACCGACTTCTCTCACGCGAGTATTACGACTGTAAGACAGATAATCAGCATACGGTGGCTCGCTGAGGTCGACCGGGGCAGATAATTTATACACCTGTTTACGATCGTCGTTTTCGACAAGCCTCCGGTCTGACTGGTTTCTTGTATCAAGGCGATGAGAACCGCTTTATCAGTTATTTTTCTTCTTTTTCCAATTATTATTTCTCTACCGTAGAATGTTAGTCGGTTAAGAACGGTAGATGCAATGGCGATAAAGTAATTATAGTTATACCGTATCGCATAATATGTTATTGGTATCTTCTTTGATTTATAATTTTTTTCAAATTGGAACAGATTTATGTCTCTCAACACAAAGTTACACATTGATTACTTTTAAATTTTAATAACGATTTTTGTGAAGTAGTAAAAATAAAAATAAGAAGTTTTACGGATTATCTATAAGTAACTCGGGATAACAGCAGTTTATTAGACATTGATATACAGTGGATAATAAGGGCAATTAGGTGAGTAGGTGGTATTCGAACAACATTACGACGTGCCAGCAAACAATCATCGCAACATACTCTCTCAACTTTCGTTTCTCGTTTACGTATCAACGGAGTTTTGCGCACACGCATGTGAACATATATATATATTTTTTTATCTATGTATATATAAATGTATTTCTTTCTCTTCCTCTTTCTCTCTTTCTTTACGTACAGTATACAAGGATAGCTTTCTCCTCGATGATGTTTCGAGGCTTTCGCGCTAAACGCTAATCGTTACTCTCATCGTTTGGAAGACTTTGGGACTTTGTTGTTGCTTGCCTTGCTCCGTTATCAACCTAGACTAATAATAATGAGGTCAAGGACTTCCAAGAACGGCGCGATAAACCGCCGGTGAAGGAACTCAATCGTATGAATGACGTTACTGCGACTTCCTACCTCGTTAACGCAATTTAAGTGAGAGATCTGTTTGTTTACACACACATGTATTTCTCGTCGATGTAGACTGTCGAGAAAAGCCGAAATATATCGGTAAATGCTACGTCTAATATCGTGTGCAGTGCATTGCAATGCTGTAAACATTACGAGAACTCAAATATGGTGCATGGTGTATGGTACGGACGTGCGAATTATCCAGTGCTTTGGAAATGTGCATGTTACTTGAAAATGTGCACTGCATACATCTCCAAGAATTACTCTAGGAAGACTCTAAGAATTAAACGTGTGAAGCGTATATTTTTCTCGAAACAACATTTTAATTATTTAATTCTATCGTCCCAACAATCTGCGAGATACTCAATAAAAGCGGCTTCTTATGTACACACGTCTTTCTTCCCTTTCTTCTTTATCATTCGTCTTGTGAATTTTGTTATGTTGGGCTGCTCAGGATAAATTGTTATTATACGTATGGTTTTGATAAATATAATTTCCGTAATATCCACAGTAACACCTGTCGTTGCAGCTTGCAATTATATAAACAATATATTTTCTAATGAGAGTTAGAATGCTTTAATATATCACTACATTAATACTATCACTGATATCTATCGACAATCGATAGTATCGATTTCCTAAATGTGTTTACGTTTCGGCGCGATACGCAAAGTTCAACGTGCTAATTGACCGACTACATGCAAATTAAATAATTGGTAGTCTACAAGGACGAGTATACTTTCTGTACAAATATATCACTCTTTTTCCTTAAAGAGAAGGTCATTTACACGGGAACCAGTAAGATGCGTGTATTACGAGAGTCATTCGTTTCTGATTAGCATTGATCGCTATTGTCGGCTATTGTATGCCAACGACTATGACTAAAAAAACTCGCAACGCCGATAGAATTATGAATAATAATTAACAATGTCTCGATAGAGCCTCTTTGCAGGTATCGGTTTGCTGGTCAGATGAATCTCACTTAATTCATTTTCCTTTCGAAAAATACATTTTGTCCCCCCTCCCTTCCCCTTTGGCGTATAGTCATTATAGATGAATCGTGTGTGAACTCTGGATCAATAAATAGATCACGTTTATCTTCGAAAACAGTTCTACGAGATTCGTTTACGATAGGAATTGTAAAAAGTATTTCAAAAGATTTCAAAAGTATTCTATCAAAAATTTTTGGTACTCTTTGTGTGTGACTTTATATAACAAGATACGAGCCGTTTTGACAGACAAAAATTGAAATACGTTACGTAAAAACGTAAGTTCTATCGCACCCCTTCATATGAAATACGAAAGTGGAAGATTTACCTCAGAAAGAAGAAAGAATGATTGTATTTTCTCCCCGATGAATTGTACCTTTATTCGTGACCTCTAACTTCATTTGCCTCATTGATGCAGAGTTCAACAGTAACGCACTTTACATTTTATATATTATTTAAGTTTTTGTTTTTATAGAATTGACATCGCTCGCTATAATCCGTCAGCCAAGCGCCGTCATTCAAGTACATACGATTAACATCTTTGGCATTAAGTTACATGTAACAGGACATATCGATTATTTTCTACTTCGATAATCACGCATTAGTTCAATCCCAATAACTAATTGCGGCTCCCCATTTCTAACGTGTCTGGCTAAGTGTGACTTAAGCTAATTGCCACGATGGCACGATAATCGTCGACGGAAAAAGAAATGCGTTGAATCGCCAAAAAATGTACATAAATACACTCAATTTCCCGTTACAGTTACACCTAGATATTTTATGTTACTTACGCGTTAAATACCTTTTTCTCTCTGTTACTCCGTAGTGGCGAGTAAGTCGAAATCTATATAGAGTCGTTCGGTTGTAAGTGTCGTCGAACAGATCGAAACGCGTGTCGTCGTTCGTAAATTCACCGTGTTCGTAAGAACTCACGATATAGAATTATTCTCGTGACGTAAAATACTAATGAAACGCCAAGGAAAAATGTGACGTGTCGGTAGATATAATGGAGGTAAGAAAAAAAAAACACAGGATTACACTTCTCTCATAAAGAAACGATGTGAAATCTATGATGTTGCGTGTGGAAATAACTAGTGCATCAGATCGTATTGCTACGATGCAATCTCTATTTCCAACTGCACGTTTAATGGTGTACCCGAATGAAAAACGATAGACAGATCTCTAACAAAATCGACGAACCAAGTAACAACCGTTCGCACGAATACTTGAAAAAGCATGTACTTTCATGGGTTTGTGTTTTGTATTCTTAAAATCTCAACACTAAATATATATATATATGTATATAATATGTTTTGATATTTATATATTTATATACTTTGTATATATATATATATCTATATATATATATATATTAAATAGTACTCTCCGTTCGATTAAAACTGTTCAACAGTAAATTATAATATACATATATTTGTATATAATGGGTGCAGTCCATTTCATAACGTTCATTTTTCGCAAACAATCAATACATTATAAACACTGTCAATACTCCAACAAAAATACTGCTCAGCATTAAATCTACTTTCTGTGACGAAACGTAATATCTATTTATAATTTCACGTCGATAAAAATGTTTATTCCGTAACTATTGGCTGACGATTCGTTGTAACTCGTACAACGAGGACAGAACAATGCTTAAGCTCAGAGAGATTAGCCATAGTTTACAATTTATGTCCTAGATAAACCTCTACATCATTCGATCTGCTCCGCCATTCCCTTGTGTTGTACGTAAATTATAAGTTTTGATTAAATCTCAAATAAATCTTCCTATTCGAGTGTGCATCTCGTTAATAACTTTTAAATAATTTTAAGCAATATTAAACACTCATATAGTTATTTAACTGTAATAAAACACGCTTTAACATACTCATGAGTATCAACAGAAATATTGTCAGGTTCAAGAAATTGCTTACGCAACTTGATATTGCTAAATATTCGAAAACAGATTTCATATATATATTATTCGAGGTGGCACATTTGTGTTAAAATTAATTTGTTAAGCGTAATAAATATTTTGAACACTCTTACTCCTTCTTCTGTGTGATCCACGTTTTGAAATAAAATATTTTACTCGAATGTCTCATTTTGAAGGCAGATCTACATCTAGTATTGCTCTTCGGTTTATACGAAATAGTAGCTTTATCGCTCATGAGGATACGCATCGAGCAGCAAAAAATAAGAAATCTGCATAACTTACGGCCGGAAGCATCTCTAACTTTGTAACTTGACTCTTCGTTTTGTCGGATATGCCGTGTATTTCGTTTAAATCTAAAAAACTTATGTACTATAAATATCTTTCAACATTTAAGTTGCTCCTGCAAGCCGGTCGCAAGATGAGGAAGCATTTAGCTAGACATTGACTCTTCACCACAAAACCAACACTCTCCTTCTCCTTTCAATGAGATGAGATTGTGCGAAATTAAATTTTTTCTGCTGTCCTAGGCAACAGTTATACTCTATCAATTAATTTAGACTCGGTGAATCCTGTTATGGAGCGATGAATATACATTTACAACTAGATTTATAATACTTCGAGAAAAATGCAACAAGAAATTATTTTGCTAACCAACTCGATTAAAATTTAAGTACCAGGACAACGTCGAAGCAATGTTGTCGTATTATTTATCATCAGCATTTATAGGACAATATTAGTCACATTTAATCAAAGAGAACTTTAACTGAGTGAAATGATCCGCGTCGCTGATGAAAGATTAATATTACTCCTCGAAAAGTCAGATCAAGCACTGAGTCGGAAGCTGTTATAATAATGAGACCGCACATATTTTCGCGTGTCTTATATTCATATCGTTGATTCTAAATTTGGATCTGAGCCTCGAATCTTTTGTACCCATCATTTAAGAGCGCGTCGCGAAACCCTCGACGTGCCTAGCTGAATAGTTACGTGACAGCGGTGCGGTTTGGCCAACGGTATGTGTCAGTCGTCTAATCGCATATTGTACGATTAATGTTTATGGACAGGTTTCTTACAAATCATGACCCAGTCGATCCATCTCGGCCAGGAGGAAGTCGACGTCGGCTTCCGTCACGGCGGCACTGGAGATGATATTCCTGAAGAAGTTGGGCCGTCGGTCGTCCGGCTGGTAGCCAACCATTAATGTACCAGCTTGCATCATACGTCCCTTCAGAATTGGGCAAATCTGAAAGCACGAACACACGGTTCTCTTGTTTCCACAAGTCCCCACAAGAGATTCACAAGAGGTTATCCTTGTCACACTGTTGTTATTATCGTGTCAGGTCAAATGTTGTCACTAGATCTGCTTAGGCGTTAGGTTTGTTCAATGTTCCTCGTGTCTCTATAGAATATCTCTCGCACTTATCAAGCGCTCACCTCGCCTAAGATTTTTATCCTCTCCGTGGTATGTGGCATGTTTCGCACGCGCGTAGGCAGGTACCAAAAGCAGACGTTGACCAATTCAGGCTCGAGGATTAAGTAATACTTGTCGGGCATTTGCTTAATCCTCTTGACCATGTACTCCGTCAGCTCCATCAATCGGTCCATGTGCTTCTCGAAACCGTCTGTGCCCTAACAACGAAAAATGACGAGCCACATGGAATAGCGAAGGCACAAATCTCCGTAGGCGATGTGCGCATACGTTGCTCGGGAGAATGGAAAATCGACATGTAACATGGGGGTGCGCGCACAGGGAGACAGGTTTTTGCAGCGGGGAGATGGGTTTTGTACCTTGGCGCGCCATTGCAGCCAAAGCTTGAAAATGTCATTGTGACGTCCACATTGAATGACCTTATCGCCAGTGTCGTACCTCACGTCGTATAGCTTGTCCGTCATAAACAGGTACTCCGCGGACATTTGGTTACAGCTGATCAGTAGGCCCTGCAAAATGGAAACAGCTCTCGCTTTCAACGCCGACCGACGGCAGACGTGCGTACGTTTTTCCGATAATGGAGCATTTCCAGAATTGTTTCGCGTGATTTCCGATTGACAGGCGCAGGAGGAGGATAAGGACGAGGAGGGCGAGTCCGTCCGGGTCGATACGGCGCTTCAACACATGCGCATAGCGAGAGGAACTCAAGATATTGAATTTACAAAATGGCGAACGTATACTAGACCGATGCTGCACTGCTGAACACCATTGCCTGGGATTGTCAAGCTTTCATTGTCAGCACGTTTTTCTAAAATTTGACGTTAGAGAATTTCTCTACGCGTGCTTTTGAAAACGCTCATGTCTCATCGGAAGTCAAAAAGAGGAAGTCAAAAAGAACTCTTTCTGTGGCTAAATTTTTATTACCACAATCTTTCCACCTTTATTCTGACCATTAGAAAGAAGGAATACCCGACCACGCGCGTCATCTAGAGACGTCGGGCAAAAATGAGAAATTCCAGGCGTTGCAGCGAGATAAGACGCTCGTGTATCACGCGCTTAGTCATTTGTGTATCCGCGCGGAGCGTAACAATGCGATTGTCAATGTTAACGAAGCACGTTCCTTGCCACGCCGCGCTTCAGCGTCAACAACAGCGCAGTCCGACAAAAGCACGGCGCGCGTTCTCCCCCGGATATCTCGCGGCAACCGGTGCACGGAATTTTAATATCCGAAGGGGAAGTTCGGAGTTAGCAATAACTGAGTCGCGGGGGGGATAAACCCTCCCCGGTGGCGAGCTGTAGGCGGACGGCAACATATGTTATCTCTTAGTTTAATTAAATTCCTGTAGTGCCGAGCGCTCCGGCACGCAGGTCTACCCCTCGGAATGCAGCTAGTGTTGTGTCGTTGCCCTCGCACGGCGCAGGAATTTCAGCACGCCCGAGCGCAGACAGAGGAATTCTCAAAAGTGCAACGTCTTGAATATGTAGCGCGAATGCAATGCTGATATGCATTTGCACGTGCTTACTTGATATTCTGTTTGTTCAAACGCGGGACCCCCTTCATTCCTTTCTTATTTACTTCCGCGTTACTTATTTACTTCTACTTTTCAACGATGAGACGTCAGAGGAGGAGAGTTCGGTGGAACTTAGAACTTAGAAGTGGAGTTTAGAATACAAACGCGCACGCTTCGTAAAGGAGGAATCTCCATCTCAGTTGTGGTAAGATATTTCTGCTCAAGCTTCATCCTCGATATGACAATTATTTTCACGAATTGTAACTTTTTTTATATTAGCGGGAATATCGCCCGGTTAATCACACAATAATCACATAATAATATAACTTACGTCTTCCTTAAAGTGAATAGAGGAACATTGAAGCAGAGCTCCCATAAGTTTGTGGGGGTTCCATGTCACCGAATCAGCCCTGTGAAAAATCACACTGTTGTTGCAATTTCATGATGAGCTGAATCTCATTTTCTCTCACGCACAGTTTGTACACACTTTCGGTCGAATAATGAGGATCGCACGAGAGTCGTATTAAAGTATATTTTTCAGCGCCTTGAATGTCAATCAATGCCCGAAAACTTTCCCCTTAATCTTCTTTGCATGCACATAAAATGCATGCACTCGTGGCCGCAAAGCATGTAGGTCGAGCGTTTTTCGAAGAGGAGGTCATTCTTCCTCTCGCCTTATCAGCAACCTGTCGAAGCGAGCCGCTCCAAGCTGGCTAAAAAAGCTCAGCCTACCTCAGCTAGCCGTCAAACTCTTATCCACTCCCGCGGGAACCAATAGGGGATAAAATATGAGTTATCTGCCCGCCGCGCCGCGCCACAGAAGAGGTCTATCAATTTGAGAGCAGAGCTATTAATATAGCCACGGGACCGGATTTAACCCCCTCCCCCTCTCCGAACCCTAGGGACCCACTACGACGGTAAAAACCTCTGACCCTTCTTAATCCTCGAAGAAGTATTGTCAGATATGAGAATCCACCTTCGCACACCTTTCTCCACGAACGTGTGCAGTAACACTTGAGGTAACTTTAGATGACTTGGCGCGATATATCACGAGTGAAGTCACCAGGTTCGTTCAAAGTTGGAAACGCTCTTCCGCGACACGTACGATGTTTTTCCTACTAGGAAACTTGACTATTTAAATACGCACGTCGCGCACGCTGCGGATATGATAGATGTTTGATACTTGGCAAATGACATGTTTATCGCGACACTGCTTCCCGCACGTGAGTTGAGTGTTCTGTGAATGATGCGAGGGTACTCGAAGCACCCTCGAAGCACGACTCGCGTCGCCAGCAGACATTCTACATTATTCACTCGTGTGCATCCTCCCCGATGTTGCAGATCAGCATACTTCTACTCATCGGCTCCCGTAAGATTTTACATTGTGTTTCCTTTCCTCTTTGGTTACATTCAATTTCTGTTTCCATTAATTTATCAATTCTCCCTTAAATTACGTTAAATTAATTCTCCCGCTTATCTTTATTCTCCGTTATATGTACCAAAAAATATGCTATTAGAAACATTTGTGTCTACTTAATTTGTCAGTATATGATGTACGAGCCAAGTAAAAATAAATATGAGTCCCGTTAAACATTTCCATGTATATGCAATAACATGTTAGAGAAAAGTCTGCATGAATCTATTGTATTAAATCTCGTGGTGTGTCACCTTTTATAGTTCACTAGCAACAAGATAAAGATTATAGCTCGAAAATCTCGTGCTACGTGTACTCCTTTCGCGTGGGTGTGATTGTTACGGAGCGATTTTGCGGCAAATTTACGAGTAATAATTTAATAAGCAGCTAGGGAATGTTTTTATATTCAGGTCATACTTAAGAGGCATGTATAAAGCTCGAGTGATTAATGCGATTCACAGCTGGAGCTGTGTTGCGCGTGCGGCACCCTTCCATTCGCTTTTAAATTCGCTCGAGGTGCCAACCCCAAAAGCCGCGCAATATATATTACAGGGGATGCTAATTACCCGCACCCTCGAGCGCGATGTGCGCAGACTACGTGCGGAAGTTTCCTGTTCGATAGTGCGAACGTCACGCGTCCGATTCGGTAATGATCAAAGCAGAATGTTGACAGAAGTTAATTCTGATTGGGTTACACAGCCTTCGCAAAACACACCAAAAATGCGAAACAGTAATAACGAACAAATAAATCACGACGTGAATTAACAAATTTATTATCTTATATATAAATTATATAAATATTATTATTATCTTGCAGCATAGATACGATAAAATAATAAGAAATATGTAAAAACAAATAACATCGTCTTTAACATTTTAATTTGGGATTCTTCGTCGGAGCGTGAGATCCACAAAAAGTACTCGTGTGTCAACGAGGCCAAAATTCCAGTTTGTTCTCCTAGAGATTAATTACGCTGCAGAGACTTCTGACACTCCAACACATCGTCGTGTTGGAGTCAAATTCGCGAAATTGTCCAAGCTAAGCGAACGGTCTGATTTTTATCCTCGAGCTTTAAAACGTACGTCCCGAGCTTCGAGCTGTCCGTAGCCGACACCCCTGCCCAGTTTGCCCTTTCTAGCGCGATCTTTTCGAGCGAGAAGGTGAAATCACAGAGTTCTCTTTCTCGATCCTGTGCAATCCGGAGCGCAGATAGTCGGGAGCGGCGGGGGGAGGGAGGATGGGGAGACAGAGAGGAAAGAGGACCGGCCAGAGAATGAGGGAGGCAGTTCCCTTTGTACGAGTTTAATCCAGCATTGTCAAGGCACCGACTTTTATTTCAGCCTCGCCGAGGAAGGCACAGTGGCACGCGGCGCGTCGATATAAGAGGAGAGTTCTGTTCTGCAAATGTGCTCCAGGGAACTGATCCAGCTGTTGCTTGTGCGTCGGATCTTTCTCCGCGCGTCGCTCGTTTGCCATTTTAATCAAGACTTCCAGGAAGGAAGTTCCCGTCGCGGTACAGTCCACGTAGAAAAATCACGAGCGCGATTCGCGCGTGCCGATCCGTAAATCGGCTTCGTGAGAAAAGTAAAAATCGTGTTGGCCAACCGTGGCGACCAACTTTCTCCTTAGACTTTACGTATTTGCGACCAAGTTCGCGTTCGGCAGCAATCTTGCGGATCACGCGGAAGTGGCATGCGCTTCGTATGTTCCAACGAGAAGCTGCAGCAATCAAAGGATTTCATTCGCCACGAAAGCTATTATTTCCGGCCTTGAGAGACCCGTCGCGCTTACAAAAATTCCGTGTGGAATGCTATCCGTTCTCTTTTTGTGCACAAATCATCCCCGAGAGACTCCGCTTCTCAGATCAGGGACTGTCTGTCATCAAAACGGGGGAGCAGATGCGCCTGGATGCAAATCGCGGATTAATCTCGCCAACCCCATGTGTGCCCGTGCGTACCCCTGACCCCTATCACAGTCTGGAAGACTCCGACGGGCTCGCATCAATGGAATGTTATGTTCTCTCGCCATTTTCAGCATCACGCGAAGTCTGTTTATAAAAATCCGCGTCGGGGATATTTTTATTTAACGTGCGATGTAGCGAAAGAGAGAGAGAGAGAGAGAGAGAGAGAGAGAGAAGTACCTACGACGTAATTTTCATCGTCTCTCTCTCTCTCTCTCTCTCTCTCTCTCTCTCTCTCTCTCTCTCTCCAAAGTCGCGAAAATTTTTCGCACCGGAGAATTTATTGCCAATGCGAGAGATCATTCCGGGACAATCTGGCGCCAGCCCCTCGTAGAATTCTAATCGCGATTTACGCGAGCAATACATTACGGGATGACGGGCCTTCGACTATTCTCATGTAAAATCATTTTCGGCTCCCGACGTTCGGACTGCAGTTAACCCGAGAGCGGCGTATCGATTTTACCCGCGACGACGCGCATTGGGTCAGAAGCGTTTTTTCAAGTGAGTCCATCATAACTAAGCCCGACTAAGTCCCAATAAACTATAAAATACGTGGATTCAGTCGCCCCTGCGTCGAACATATGCGCGCTACGCTCGGAGATCGATGAAACTGCGTGCAACGAGCGAGCGGTGGCGTACATAAAAAGCATACACGAAAACAGCTTGATTCAATGGCGAGGAGAGATCGCGCGAGGCGATTCGATCTCGGCACGGAAGATTAAACGAAAGGTTCATCGTGCAAATTAACACTCACCGTTCGACGCCGGTCATTCTCGGATGCCTGTACTTTCTCGACAGAAGCAGTCCACCACCCCAAGCCGCCTGGGACAAAAATAAGGGCGTAACGTAAGGTTCAGCAGAAAAATCTCGATCACGTGGTGGAAAACGAACGCGAGAGATCGACTCGAGATACACGTGGGCGAGCAAAGTGCCGGGCGCTCCGTTAAGCGCTTCTTAATCTTTGACTTATAGATCCGGCGTTTTCCGAGTTTCCCGGCAGTTCTCGCCCACGAGTGGCTCGCATTCTCCGACGAAACTCCTGCTGCTTCTCACATTTATTATTTACGTTAAGGCTCTTACGCGTTTGGCATTTACAGGCTGAAATTGCGTTGGGACGAGTCTGATTGCATAAGCGCATCTGACTTGATCACTCACTCAAGTTATACTACTCGCTCTCCCTCTCGATTAGAATTAACGCACAGCGCACTGCGGATACATGACATCCACATCTGTCTGTCACTATTGCTCTTATTTTGTCATGATTAAGCTACTATCGAGCAAAACTGTGTCCGACACTTTTCACTCGTCAGAATGACGTGCGAGGTAAATGTGCATTCCCAAGTCCCTTTCAAGAGAGGAAAGAAGCGTTACTCACGTCGACATGCAACCAGAGCCTGTACTTTTGGCAGATATCGGCAATCTCCGGGATCGGATCGAACGCACCAATAACTGTCGTCCCCGCCGTGGCGTTCACGAAGAACGGTATGTGACCTCTGGCCTTGCGCTCCAGAATCAATTCTTCCAGCTTCGATGGAATGATGCGACCGCGCTCGTCGCTAGGCACCATCACGCAGTTGTCCGTGCCGAGGCCGCAAACGGAAGCGCATGATTTCACGGAGTAATGGCACTGTGGGCGTCAAAAACCCACATTGATCGAGAGCTGAACCTGACCGGTTGAAAAACACGCTTGACCGACGAGAAGCTCCTTGCTCTTTACCTGGTCGGATGTAAACATCACGAGCTGTCCACCGATCGCGGAGAGCCCCTTCTCTTTGTACGTCGGGAACATCTTGTGTCTGGCAGCGAGGAAAGCATAAAGATTGCTGATGGATCCCCCAGGAGCAAGGATGGAATCACCGCCGCTCCAGCCTATGAGCTCGCGCATTTTTTGCAGGACGACGTGCTCCATCAGGATAAACACGGGAGCGATCTCGTAGGTGAACATGTTCGTGTTCGCCGTCGCGGTTAGCCACTCGCCGGCCATGGACACCAAGTCGAGGCCGCAGGATAGTTGATTGAAAAAATGGGGGTGTCCTGGGAACATTAGAGGGAAAGGGTTTCCTTAAAAATCGCTGACTCGCTAAAAGTGGAGGTCCCTCTTGCTGCGCAAACTAAGGCAACCAAATATTAATTACCATCCCGCTGATAAATCAGCCCGCGAGCCGCGCCGCTGAGAATTAATGCACTGATTGTTGACGAGTGGCTCTCTTAACGGCAAAAGTAATTAATAACGCTGACGTGGCACGTGTCTCAGTATTATCGCGCTATGCGCGATCCCGTCTGGCGTGCGAGCACGCTGAAGGAAAGGCGGCGAGAGAGCTTTAAGCTCTTCACGAGTATGTTGTCATCCGCTCGGCTGAACATCGCGCGAGGATCAAACCTAATGCTTCTGTTCGATGGGAGCCTGGCCTTCTGATGCAGCTAGGGGAGCGAATATTTTACTTTCTCGCTCTCTTTCTCTCACGTAAATGCGTAGCTATGTCAGTCTTTCGCTCCTCTGCTCCTGTACGTCGGGAAAGGCGTCGTTGGAAAATTTAACTGGAGTAAAGTAAGCACACGGCGTGTAGTTTCATCAGTTTGCTAACAAAAGAACGTTTACGAGCAGAATTCGGGAAGGCCTGTCGAATGTAAAGTAAGAGAAATGGCTACCGGAAGATTCGCGGGATTATTTTTCCATGCATCCACCCGGAAACAATCAATGAGACAGACATCGCACAGGCGATCCCTGCTGGCACTATCAATTTTAGGATATCGCAGATCCCTTGATCCTTGGAATATGATGGATTTACTCTATTGAATATCCGCTCGTCGAAAAGACTTTGACCCTTGCGTGCTCGATAATCTCACGCTCTCTCGCACACAATGATATATCGTTGATGTGTCGAAAGAGATTCCATCGAGATAGAGCAGACCGAGACACTTCGGAAAGTATTTTGAAATTATTCTGGGTATATTGAATGGAGTACATTGAAATGGATAATAGAGAATATTTTGTCATTAGCAGTATTATTTCCGGTCCAACGCTATGGAGCCGTGTCAGGCGAAACATGCCATGTGCGCACTCGATGGTGGATGCGTTTTAATCTTCTGGTATTACGTAGTGATTGACACATAGCAGCGATCTCCGCAAGGTACGGACATCCCCTTCACTGACGCTTACCCCGAGCCTGGGATTTAGCGCGTGGCAAAGTCGAACCGACGTTAAAGGCCTGGAAGGATAATCTCCGATTTTAGTCGGAGGACTCACGGACCACGTGTTTCCATTAAAGGGATTCCATTAATGGAAAACAATCGATACAGTCGAGCGAAGCGGCAGCGACATATTCTCCGACGAGAGTTCTCCTCAACATCGCCGCGAATAATAATCGCACGACACGATATTCATCTCCGATATTCCTGTTCAACGAACACTCTTTATTCCTCGTCTCTTGAACTCTCTCATCGACAATTCCGACAATTATATTCCCAACGGTAGCTCAATATTCCTCCGTTGCGAGAGACTCCTTTTGCATCTGCTGCGAAGGCATCGCTAGAGCTTCCATTTGTTAACTAACCTTCGCCAAGGCTACCCGGCTATGTCACTGGTATTCCAGAATAGCTACATGAATCATCTTGTAAGCGCGAATATCAATGGTCCGACGCGAAAACCACCCCAGACGCGATATCAGACGGTGGCATTTGAGCCGTTTGTCGTACTGTTATTCGCAATTATCTCGGTCCGTGGGTCGTGGCACGCGTCCGGTTTAGGGGTGCGCAAGAAGACGATTTTCTCTCCTCTTCCAACCTGACCCAGGCGACGGGGCCACGTTCCGACTAAGAGCGGAGAGAGAGAGAGAGAGAGAGAGAGAGAGAGAGAGAGCGGGGCTCGATGGTCCGAAGCGCCCGCATTTTGCGCGTCACACGCGTCGCTGCTCGACTAGATTGTTTGCAGAGGCTCTCAAACGCTGCACGCGCGCATCATCCAGGAAAAACAAACATATGCGGCCAACTGGTGCGAGATAAGCTGCTTTACATTATGCAGATTCGTGTCGCGAGTTTACAATCACGTGAGCATTCTTGACACTCTCGCGTGGAGGTGGCGCACCCAGCTTATTATTTTCATCTTGTGTTGTTATCTTGTATTTTCCTTCTATTTCTATTTCTCGCTTAAGATTTCCATTTTATGTGCAGTTTTTGCAGCGGATGTGTGAATATGCGGTGGACAAGCCTGAGTCGCAAATGCTACGTTTAAGAATATGCAACAGATAAAAATAAAAATGAACTCAGTTCCAGCTTGGAATCAGTCGGTTGGCAATGCGGATTTAGAAGGAAGTTGATTTTAAAGAGAGCTTTCGAAAATCTTTAAACATCCTTTTAATAACAATACTTTTAACAACAATACTCGATAAAAAAATATAAGAAATATGGCCGAAATGTTGAGAGAGATAAGTAGAACACATATGAAGGGTATAATATTTATATGTATTATACAAATAATAATACACTTTGCAAAATGACACTTTTGCACACATCTAGACGCTGTTCCTATATTTAACCGCGATGCAACAAATGATCTGTCTCAATCGCCTAGACGTTCTTCATGGTGATTACGCTATCCAGAGAATCATTTTCCGACTAATTTGCTCCTTCCCCCGCAAGGTCGGCAGAAAGAGAAAACGCGAAGAGAACCTGTTTCGAGCAGGCCGCGGTGATATATTATGGGGCGCGGGATTTGTATGGAGCGAAGTGTGTAACTCAGGCTTAACATTAATGCGAAGCGATCAATCATACCGTTCATAAGGAAGGCAACATTGTGCTTGGCATTGCTGTTATATTGCTTCTATAAGGAATCTTTAAAAACGTCGTGTAATAATGTACGGTTTCTGCATGCGATGTTTCTTAAAAAAATATATCGCGAAATTTCGCTGATAAAATATAAAAATATTGATTTTAAATAACAGGAGACACGACGACAGGATTCCTTTTCATTAATCAGTATTGTTTATCCGCGACGAATCCGCAGGAGAGAATCGTTTGTTACATCGAACATTCGCCATGGCGAACGGAATCGAGTGTGATTTTTATCTCGACGAGCAAACGAATATGTTGCACGTCCCTGGTGTGTGGTATGCTCGATTCTTTTTAACAAAAACTATCATTGCCCGAATACCAACCACGTGATATAGCGGCGGTGTTTTTCGCACTCCGTGACGAGCCAATTTATCGCATGTGCACGTGCATTCCTACTACGACAAACTATCGATAGCAATTTAAATTCCTTCAATGCTGCATCCCTATACCGCCACGCCAGGGCATCGCAACGCGCTGCAGCCCTTATTTCGCGCAGCGCACCACCCTCTGTAACCGGGTTTTGCTCCCTATTTACTGTTTCCCCTCGACCCTACCGAGGAAAAATCGTGTAGAAATGGCTCTTAATTACACCGATCCTATTGAATCCGCCACTCCGCGCAGCCCGCGTACCACGTGCAATAACGCCCCGCTATTTTCCTTCTTTCTCTTCCTTTTGTTACCGTAGTCACCACATCTACACGCATGCAGGGTGTGACTTGAATTTAGGATTTTTTCACATTATAATGAAAAAAAATCTACTGTTATTTGGATAATCAACGATTGCTATATTGCTGAACAAAAGTTGGCTATGCGGAGGATATTCCGATCTTTGTTGTTTTCATCATTCCTTAATATTGTCGATGTTCACCAATGCATTTTTTTTCTCGCCTCCGTCCTCGCCACCGTTAACAATATATCTCTCACACGCGTCTGATAACACCCTGCGGAGAGCAACGTTCGATACGTATCGCCTGATATTCTTCAAGAACAGGACAGCTTCCTGCAGCCAAGGGTACCATACCAAAGCCTGATATCCGAAGGGCTGGCGAATCTTGCGGCATATAATCTAATAACGAGTTTTTGTCAGCACGTATCGTGCACGCGCCCTTCGATACCGAGGGGATGATCACCCCCGCCCCTCGCTTCCTTTTACATGGACTGTAGACAGGCCTGGATTCCTGGCCTAAGTTTGGGTAGGTCTCCTCCATTGTGCATTACCATCTATTCAGCCTGGTAATCGAATCCTACCGAGATAGCGAACTTTCGCGCGTCGAGGGAGATTTGCGGTTGACTTTCGCTATTTTGCAGAGCCTCTACGTCACAGCGCAGTCATTTCGGCGGATCGAAGCTCACCCCGTTGCAACGACCGTATTCGCCTCGCTTCTCACGCTTTATCAACGTGAAATTCGCGTCGAAAGAGCGCGAGGGGGATCTATCGGACTCTTCTTGGTGACCTGTAAGATTTATCACGAGGGATTTACAGATTCAACTGAAAGATTGGAACAGTAGAAGTGGAAGAATTTGAAAAACAATGAGAATTACTTCTTATTCAAGACCCGTTTCTCTAATGTGCCGCACGGTCCCTTTGAAATTTAATTGAGACGTCGCGGTCGGGGGGATTCGCACGATCGGCAATTAAGTGTAAAATCCCATCTTACGTATCGCCGCAGTTTTCAAAATGAGCAGCGGGGATGTGAGGGTAACGAACGAGAAATAGCTTCCAGCTTCCAGCTGGGGTGGGAACGATCCACCGCTACCGCGCTGCGTAACATAAAAACGTGGCGCGGAGATATCTTGGTTTTTTTAGCCGCTGTCTATCTTCGCCTATTTATTGCGAGCGCAACGCAGGGTGGGGTGTTTATTTCGAACGCTAACCGACGACCGAGCGACGGCCGTCGGACCTCGTAGCCAGTGTCTGTCGTTGCCTTATCTTCACCCCTGCGAGCGCGTATGCTAAATTGAATATGAAATTATGTGGCTTATCACCCTCGTGGGTAGGGACGTGAGATAACGCGGTGTTAAAACGCTCCTCCCGGCAGGGGTGCCTGCACTTCTGCAGTATTTTTTGATCTATTATCTCCGCCAGCGCAGCGCGATCCAAGCGAGCCTTGAAATAATCTCAACTCAATTTTCATGCTAAAAAATTATCCTCGGAAGGTAAACGCTTTCCGACTTTGAGGTAAACACTCAAATCGCTCAAAGCGGCGGAAGTTTATTCGCCCTTCCTCTCCGAAACTTTTGCCGCCGACATCGCCGTTAATTGTGACGCTCTCCTGAATTGTCCTGATTTGAGTTTCATAAGTTTGTTGAGATTTAATCGCAAGTATCGCTATAATCGAATACTAATTGAGAGGTACTCGGGAGAGAGAGAGAAACGGGATGGATCTGTGCACTCACCGGTTTTCACTTGATACTTCAGAGTCATCGAACAATCCAGCAGAAGCTGCTGAAGAGTCAACCCGGTGTCGGGGATCTCCAGATCTAAAAGCCGCATCATGTCGGCGGGATGGTGAAAGTCGAGGATCTTCGCATTCCTATCGTTTGTCGATTTGACGAAGTCCAACAGGATATCCACCACCTTCATGAGGAACTCTCTGGTCGCAGGGTAGCCTTCTACATTGTGTGGCAGGATGTCTGCGAACAGAATGAAACATTACAAGTGCGAATCCTCGCGCGTCCGCATTGATCTGCTGGACAACGCAGTGATGTGCGACTGTGGAATTATCACTGTGGAAAGCACTTGCTGCTGTCGCACGACTACTAAAGTTCGAAAACAAGCTGCCTCAGAGAGACAGAGAGTGGCGGAAACACCGAAAGTGCAAATATCGATACTATCCTCACAACATCAAACTCGTATCTCTCTAATACCTGAGAAAACGAGCAGCGCGCACACGCGATAATACATGCGCGGTATGATGCAACAGCACAAGAGAACTCTCTAATTGTTGGAATCAAGTGAAATCTCTTCTACCACAGTGATATCGATCGGCACCGTGTTGAGATAAGATTCCTTACGACAGCTGTCGTATCCCGTCGCTCGACCTACCGTCGTGACTCTGACGCCGTCCTCGGAGGTAACGTGCAATTAGAATGATTTCACCTCATCAAACAATTGAAAGTATAGACCTATATTGACACACTCTCACTTGTTTGGTGGGATGACACCATCTTATCCGTGTCGTTCCTTTCTCTTCCACTGCCAGTCGGTTCTTCGTCGTATTCGCCGCTTCTTCTGCTCGACGTTGCAGCGTGACAGCGTTGACAATCCGTTGCTTTACGAAAATCATGCATCATGCAACTATTCGACCAATTGCCAACGTGTCAACTTGAATCTCATATTTGACGTTTGGTACTCGAGGATGCGCATTTTACGACACGCAAGAAGAAGATACGATAAAGATCGGAATTAACTTCACGTCCGAAATTTACTAGACTCGTAGGGAATAACATGGAAATGGCACTCGTGTGACCTCTGCGCGCGTAGTTCGCATGTTATTCACGTGAATTCGTCTCGAGGATGTTGTGCGTCTAACGTTGAGCCTCCCCCTAATAATACATCAGTAGAATTATGGAGTCATACAAACGCGAAGCAATGAAGACGAAACGAAGTAGCTGCAGCAGGATATTTCAATGTCCTCGCGGGTAAATCCTCGGCAAATTGAACTGTCCTTCCGTTGCGGGGCAACCATAAAGTATCCCATGGAGTAAACCACCCCCAGTCGTTCCCCATTGCATTAAGGTGATCCCATGGATAAACAGCCCAGCCACTATGAGACTTTGCTTTCAAATTATTATTTAGCATTTTAAGACGGCGACACGCGACACGGAGCGCATTCTTTAAGGAGATGTAACATTTTCTGTCTCTCATTTCTCTGTTAATATTGCAAACGCGCAACACTTATTGCCTCCATACATCGATGGCGCTGAGAAGAAGAAAAATCGTCGTCAATTCAGTCATACAAATCTGTAAGATCTGTTACATCCGCCTGTCGTCACAATTCGTTACTTTGTTATCACAACCTAAGTGATAATCAAAGTGTATCAAAGTGTATACACACACACACACACACAGTTACAGTTAAGGGCTACAATTTTTAAGTGTAATTCGCCTAACGAGACGTCCCTCCTAAAGCGGATCCTCTCCCTTTCCAACGACGTAGGAGTATTTTTTTCAATAATCAGCAGAGTGCTGAATAAGAGCCGCGCAGAGAAAGAGGGGAGTCCGCAAACTTATGGTGAATCGCCTTGAGCCTATGGTTAGACAAGGGAAATCCCAGGCTTCCAGCGGTCGGATCCAGCTAATCCCGCTCCATCAATCTAATGTCCGAGGATCTCTCCGCTTTTTTCTTTCTCGTGGTTTATGGTACTTCTCGAGGTACAAACAAGTCCGGAGCTCCGTGTCCTTCAAGATTTTATTAACGCTGGAATAAGCCTCGTCTAATTAGCGTTCGTTTTATGCGTTAGTGTTACTCTTTCCACGACGACCATTGCTCGCGCCAAATATTTTCACGCGAATATTTAAGCGCGACGTCCGCCAATAATGGCCACTCGAGCTGCGAAACTTACTGTCCCGCGGATTTTCATAAGTACATCGCCGGACCGCGCTCGGACTCGATACGTCCTGTACCGTCTCTATAGTCACTTGGCACCAGATGCGTCTGGACCCTCGCGCTTCGACTTTAATCAAAGCGCCTTCTGGGCCGCTTGTTACACGCGGCACTTAGTCACGCCGATTTATAACGACGGATTACGACGTTAATTCACGGCGAAGCGGCGGATTTTACGTTAGCGCGACGCGTTCCCCAAGTGAAAGTCCCGTAAGCGTTGGCGTAAGCGCGATTCACGAGATCGACCGAGATGTCTCGTGCAAAAATCACTGATCGGGACAAGGATACTTCCGGCGGCGAAATATCCAGAATTCCACGCGCGGCACGCGCGTGTCGTTATCGGCCGCTAACACTTGCCGAAGGACGAAGACGACAAACCCTTCCGCATCCCTGCGGCGTGTAATCTGTCCTCAACCACTCGGCGCCCGCCAGGCCTCTTTGGAACAATTCTAAATCCTCTATTATTATGCACCCTTCCGAGTCGCAGTCCTCGTGAAATCAGGACAATATTGTGACTCTTGGATCCCGCTCTTGAAAAGTCAACCCTGCGCGCAATCGCGCAGCGCCAGAGTCACCGACGACGAAGTCTGCCCTTCTTGCACTTGACCAATGCCGAATAGCAACGAGATGGTGCGAAAATCGATAATATCGTTATCTTATCTGCTTATGCGGGTTGCAAGCAATTCGGAAAGAAACGAAGCGCTATTCATGCGACGCTTGTTCGTTAGGCGTGTCTTTGCGCAATTTTCTCATCTGCACTTTTCAGGTTCATGCGATATTCTAAAAAAAAAAAAAAGAAAAAAAGAATAAAAAAAGAAAACTGGCCAGACACTTTTTCGCGTAAGAAGGGAAAAAGAAGGAAAGAAAAGAGAAAACGTTCTGTACGATCACTCACCCGAATACTTCAGGTTGCAATGCTCCTTGGAGAGCGAGTAGTTGTTTTCGGAGCTCATTAGTCTGGTGGGTGAGTGCGTTCGTGCGAAATTCTGAAATCCAAAGCAAGAGGACCCCATCTCTTCAAGCTGCACTTTGCACTTGCGTAAGGTTTACATTAAGATTTACATTAGTTGGATAACCGACCCTTGCAGCGGTAATAGTAACAAGCCCTTGCAATATCATAAACGGGATAAAAGTGATTTTTGCTACGACATCTGTGCGAGTCACAAATGTACACACGGATCAGTCGGTTTCACCTGCGTATCAAGCTAGCCGTATCAATCGTCATAGTAAATATCGATTGTATCGCTTATGCCGCGGGAGACAGGGAGAGCTTGAGGGAAGAGGGGAGGGAAGGGAGTATCAAGAAACTAACTGCGTCGGCCTAAGGATCACTAAATGAACAGACGTGATGAATGACGTGCAATGCGGATGCCTTACATATAAGTATTCCTTGATTGCTGTTATTTTAGTGCCGATCATTTGCACATTGTCCATGTCTCTGCTTGTGTCCCTCGCCTCAACAGTCCCTACAACAGTCAACAACAGGTTCCGCTTCAGTCACGACGTACTGCGGTGCCGATCCTCGGCGAGTTACGGCGGGATCGTGAAATTCTTAAGCGATAATGTGCCGCCGTGGCAGCACGATAGGCCGAGCGACCGAAGAAACATGGACAGAGAGCAGTTGGTTGTTTTGTCTTTCTTTTCCGTAATTCCTCAAACACGGAGGCTTTAACACTCTCGCGACTACGTCGTGCGGTATGCCGCACGCAAGTCCCAAAAGAGAGAGTCGCATGATCGCAATTACTTTGTCTCTCTCTCTCTCTCTCTCTCTCTCTCTCTCTTACTCTCTCAAGAAAACATCTTGATCGAAGATGAGACTTGTAACTTTGGCGTCCAGATAGCGTTCTTTTGAATCAAGTCAAGAGATCAGATCGTTTTGCTCTCTGAGCCAATCGAGCGGTTCTGGGAGCACAAGAAGTAAACCGGAGTAAATTCCAAGACATTCACGGATCTTTTTACACAGCGTTAGAACGTGCAAATAGGAGGCGTAGGAGAAAATGTGGAAGAGAGTTTAGAATGTCTGTGAAACACGTGCACGTTTAATGAATGCACTCGGAGAAAAAGTTTTGTTCTCCGAGCCAATGCACGGCTCTTCACCTCGAGGTAGAGCGCAGTTTACAATTTATGTTGGGACTTGGGAGAATTCGACAGGAACGTGGGAGTTGGCGAATCCTTTTTGTCGTCAAATAGAGTTCTGATCTCAAAGGTGCGAAGTTACTGACAGTAGCATTTTATTCTGCGTTTTCACCTTTCTCCAGCCGGTATTTCGGTATGGCAGAATTCACCAGTCGAAAAGCGCTTTCACTGGTCCGACGTGGCAAGACGTTCAGTGGCTAATACGCGCGAGAAGGAATCTCCCCGCATTTTTTAAGGACTCGTTCTCGTCTGTGGTTACTTTTCGGATTCAACAAAAACAATCTGGCAGCAGGTGACTACAGTCACCCTTCAGATCAACAAGCGTTTCGCAGCGCTAGGTGACTACGCCACTCTACGAACTACAGCGAGCGCTTAGCGACGGGTGACCACAATCATTCTTTGTACCGAAAAAGTTGAACGTTTACGGATAACACGGTTCTCGTATCAAATTGTACTCGACATTCTTTCTTTTTTTTTCCTTTAAAATTCCGAAACCGATTCAATCTTCACTTCTCTTGATTTTGCGGGGATTCTTACGACGATCAATGAAAAATTCCACCCGGTCACCGTTGTGCAGACGAAGGATGACGATTGCCGCATTTGGAAGGAGAAAACGGATTTTACTGCGCCGTGAAGTATGTCAAGTAGATGAGTCTTGAGGGTTTGAAAAATATATAACTTAAACTCAGGCAGAGAAAAGAGAGAGAGAGAGAGAGAGAGAGAGAGAGAGAAAGAGAGAGAGAGAGAGATCGCGATGTCGTAGGTTGCTAATATGACAAGTATAGTGGAACTAGGCTAAGGTTCTAGACTATTTCTACAAAGATAAACAGCTTCAGGCTAATCATCATGCTAGAACAAAATGAAAATCACGAGGTCGGCCTTAAACATGGAGAATTCCAATTCTTTGATCGTTTCGCCCCAATAAGAATCATACAATAAAACGATATTCAACTGCGCACGACTTAGCGTCTTGAGTTCAAAACTTTGTGGTTTCCGTTCGCTCGTATCGTCAAATGGATTGTTACGGGAGTTTTGAATCACAGCGTATACACCCCCGATTTTATTACCAATTGATGCGAACCGCCTTGACCCCAATAATCCCTTTAAAAGGACATGTACTCTTTAACTGCTTCCCAATCTACCCAACAGCAAGTTTCAATTCGCCGAGATGCGTCACGAGTTTTATTGAGAGACACAGAAAGAAGACATATCATCGTGTTTTCAACAGAAAAGGAATAACCTCTGCCTACTGATGCGAATTTCACCGTACTCACTTAATCCCGTCTACTGCTTCTTTAGGCTTTCCTTCGCGGCCGAGTGCTTCGACTTCACGATTTCAACGGGTGTTGTGCTCTCGCTTTGGCGTGAGCGTGGACTTTTAAGGGTAGAATGTCGACCAAGTGGCGAAACGACGACGGGCTTCGGGGTGGTTTCCAAGGGACTGCTTCGTGCCGAAAACGCCTGGACGACTCTCGAGTCTCGGCCTGACTCGACCTGCCTCGAATCTGCCTGACCCAGTTTCGTCTTCCACAACCTACGCAGCCACCCTCTCCAACCAGGGGTGCTTTCGCGTAGGCGTGGTCGTGTCTGGTCGCGACTGGTAGGAGTCGAAGGGTGAAACGTAGTGGTGGATAGCAGGGCGTGTCGTTGCGCCACCAATCCCGCTGCGAACGTCACTTTTGACGTCAGAGGGAAAAAGAGGGTGGAAGAGAGCGAGCATGCCAATTTCTCTTCTTGTTTGTTTTTTGTTTCCGGGGCTTCTTTTTGTTTATCCGAGCCGCGTGCGGTTTCCGCGACGGATGTATTCGCCGCCGACACCTTTGTGCGTTTATATTTCGTTTGCTACCTCAGACGACGGCCGTGATGGGAAGTCTCATAGTAGTCGGGAGACGAGAATCTCCTGCTCTCTCAGCGTCAGTGATGCGCGGAAATGCGGAGAGAGATTGAAGTTTCGAGACGGTTCTGAGGAATGGGACGGCGCTGTTCATAAATTTCAGAACGTGCTCCAACAGACGTATGACAGTTATGACAGTTATGCTACACACGCGCCTCTTTAAGATTTTGCAGGTACCTGCAGGGGGTGAGTCTACATTATATAATTACCAACCTCACACTGAATTGATATTTCAGTTCAAGAGTTGATGATCTTCGAGAATAAACAAGCATATGGACGGTTATTGTTATGGTTGTACATAAAGTAATATGACTATTTAAACGTTTTGAAGAAGAATGTGTCGGCATAAAACTAGGGTTTTGTTATAATATTATTTCAGGTTCTCCGGTAGAAGATAAATTTAATAGTAGAGTAAACTTAAAGTAGATGCGGAATAATTGTCACGTCATTGATTTAACAATCGATGAACATTATTGAAATGCCAAACTTGCAGCTCGCACATTCAGAACAAGAACCGGCTACTCATTAGAGTGCGCAACGAGCCACGAGCCGTGGAAAAATGTAATTGCTGATTGTCCGATTTCTTCCTTGGAAAATGTCGCGACGCCTGCGTCGTCTTTCTCTGGCTAAGGTGGGTCGGGGGCGAAGAACGCGAACAGGTAGGTAAACAGGGATGGTGATACTGGAAGAGGAAGAAACGGTGGTTACATGGACCAAGGGGATGGGAAGGACAAAATGGACGGCGACCAATAGGGTGCCGGGACAAAATGGCCGTCGGTGAATTTAATCAATACCTTCCTCCGTCCTTCGTTGTGGGTGGAGGACAGGGCAAGACCCAGAAAGGGTCAGGAACGTAACTAGAGGTACATCGAAATGTACGCACGTACTCGTCTCATTGAGGTCGATATATCTTGCGTCTTGTTTAAGAGCGTAAATCCTTCACGTGGCTACATTCGATACAATGTACGAGAACTGTTTTCGTCCTTGTTCGCTACGCTAATACTAAGTACGTGAAAACTTAGGAAGAACATTTCTGACTGAAGTCAGGCACCTTTACCGAAATGAATTGTCGTAATCTCCCCATCATATGAAATATAAAATATATGGTGAGTTTTATAAGATTATATACCGACACAGCTTTATCTCGGAACTATGACTGGTTCTTGAAGAATGTCGTGTGTACTTAGTGCTGTATTTCTATGAATTCGGTTTCCGGGTGCTCAAACTAACGTACTGTACACACACACACACACACACACACACACTGTTCAGTTATCCGAATATTACCTGAGATATTCGAAATGACATCATTCATTTAAACTCGTGGTAACCGAAAAGCTCCGAATGCCCGATTGTGTTGAAGATTTCTGGATATTCGGAATCGACATCATTAATCTAAACTCAAAGATATCCTTCTTCAAGTGATATATTTGTGTTCTCTTACCTGAATAAATCATGATCTTGAAACACATGTTACTGCTTCAAATTGCTTATGGAATGATCGTGCTGGTAACATCAGACATGTAACAAGGATTTATATTCCTATCATTTTATACACGTTACCGATGAAATTTCACTCGTCCTTGCAGATATGAGCTTCTCATAATTTATTATTTGCTTATTTGAAAGCAATTCCCTGATTTTCTCTGACTTTATAATGCGAATCCGCTACAACAAGATGGCATGTAACATAACAATTTACGATCTATGTTATTTATCACACGAATTCTACCAGACTGAAGAATAGAGTTACATTTTCTCCCGTGCTGGAAGGAAACGGATCGTTTGAGATTCGCACGTGGGTAGCGACATTATCAAGGAGGCATTATCGTCGAAGAGCTTTGGCACTAAATTTTCACGAAACTACTAGCTCAAAGTGACTGTTTTAAGAGGGGATCCAAGTTATTTCACCGTGGCTGGCAGAGAGAGGGTTAGGTCGATTTAATGGAACCACAGTCAGATAGCATCGATCTCGCATCTACTTCTTGTCCTTCGAGAACGGGTAGCCTCGTCACGAAGAAACTGACAAACTTCCCGTTCTTCATCGTGAATGTTTCGGGAAACTTTAAATTGAACCGACGTCTCCCGTGTAACGTTTGGAAGCGGATTTGCTATTTAAATAAATAAATAAATAAATATATATATATATATGGCGTCGTTATACAAACGCAGCATATTTAATTTCTCGTTGCTGTCGTTAATCTCTTTCTTTCCTTTCAAACTGTGATACACCATCTTGCCAGAAGCAGGAAAACGAATAAGTTCCGATAAAGCTTTTTTATCGAGTTTTGGAAAACACGTTCCAGAGTACTTATTCGGTGATTAATCACCGGCTACTTCTTCAAGTATTAGGCTTTACTTAGCGTCAAAGATCAAGTATTTATATTGCGACTAATTATCATGGACTTCTTTTAATCATTTTTACTTTTCCTCGATTATTTTCCGACCGCACATCTCTAAATATTAATATTATCCGAATCACGTCGTTTGCGGATAACTTTTTGCAATATTTTGGATTAAAAATTCGTCTGTATAGTTACTCAATGTTTTCGTTTGCGTTCAGCATATCAGATTTGCGAATGCAAATATCATCCCTTTTCCAATGATTTATATCTACATTATATCCGAATTTATGTTGATATCGACACTCCATTGATCCAATAAGTAATGAATAAATCCTCCACGACATTGCGTCGCCACATCTTATCAATAATCCAATGTATACTTTGCCTATGCTATTGAATGAGTATCTTTTATCACTTCCATTGTGTGAAGAATTTCCGCACTATTTTAGAAAATATTTATGCTCTTGTCTGTAATAAATAACCAAATTCTATTTGGCTAAATATTATCCTGAAAGCAGCATTACTCGTGGAAAAAAATCGAAAATTTCTTAAATAAAAGACGATGATTCAGCAGTCAGATATGAAGTTTCAACTAAGTTCATGGATCAGTAATACATTAAATTTTGTCTTAAATTTTTCTTTCTAATCAGTTTATATGTTTATCTATCAAATTGTAATCTATTTTATCTAATCTTTTCTCGAAATTTAATGCTTCCTAAACGATCGATCGCACTATGAACTTTACAGTGAAGACGTTGAAATGCTAATTATTTTATTTAATTGTATTAAATATATTTTATTTTAGATATTGTATAATTAATGCTACTGTTAAAAAATTTTAAATAAAGAGATATTTTCTCTTTAATATGCAACGTCAGATGTTTTAATAAAAAATTATTTAAATTATTAATTAAAAATTATTTAAAACTTTAAGATTATTTTAAAGATATATTACAGATGATAAAATAAATATAACGCACAGAAAACCGATATCTTCACAGACATGCTATTGAGTCTTGATTTTCTATAGATTACCAGAGATATAGATTACCAGAGATATAAGTTGTTTGGAAATGTTATCATCATAATCTCAAGATGTGGTTTATAACATGTAACTCGACTGTAGTGATTGATAGAGCTTCAATATGATACGAGTTACTGGTGATGAAGCAGTCTAGTGAATAGCACGCATCGTACAAGTCTCCCGCTTTATTTCGCGATTAAATCAAAGTGAATTGGTGCGTGTTATTGGTGTAAATTTTCTATTTAAAATCAAACAAATAAAGGTGAGTTCATTTTTTTCATCCGTGCTATTTTCCTTGATATTCGCGATAGAAAGTGAAGAAAGTGACAAAAATTCATTGCTTAACAGTGCAACGTGAGGAATTAATTTTTAATTCTGAGGAATGCATACAAAGTGACTATTGAAATGTTTCGGATCATATTTTCATATAGAACTTGATTTGCACAGCACAGTTGTGAAACGTTTACGTATATATATACAGTTTACTATGCGCGCTCCAACTATCCTTAGTAACGATTCGTATGAGTAATTCATATCACCATCGTAATTTTCAATCGAAATAATTCTCAATCGCCTTGATTATTGCTGAGTCAATGTAGCTTCGGTTCTTGTTAGCGACACAAGTCGTCCGTTGTGCAACAAGACTGCACAAATCTTCGCAGCCATCATTTCCTACAAATGACAGAGAAATGTTCCATAACTTCAAGACATACTTATTCACGCTTCGACCGAACATATGTATCTCATTTTCGAGATCAGCAGGAAAGCCACGAGACAATTCGACTAAAATCCAATGTTCATTAATACGCGTGACGTCCATCGGCGAGCGTTCATTACATCATCTAGAATCCCACAACGAGACTGTCCTACATGACTCCATCCTCCTTCATCTCTCACAGTGGCCACAAAATCCCGTCTCCCTAACATATACTCGGGAGCGGTCAGACTCCAGGAATTCCTCCTTGGCCGTACGCGCGCTCCTCTCGACGTGGCTGGCATCGGAACGTGAAGTTCCACATCCACTTCAGGTATTGATTAGCCATCACTTTCAGATGACGCCTCCGCTCCGGTGGGTGTTCCTGTTGGCATTGGTGGGTTGCGCCGCGAGCGTCCCTTCGCCTCCCGTCGATGACGCATGCGTCTTGCTTTGCCACCCCAGGGCGAGATCGTCTCCCGAGGGAGTCTGCGAGCTCCGGGCAGCCCAGTCCGGCTCCGTCCTGGACCAGGCGCGGATTATCGTCAGCCGCTGTCTGAAGCTATGCGACCACCGGCTGCCGTCCTCCGTGCGAGTTAGCTGTTCCACTCTGAGATCGTTCCTCGGTGCATTCCGAGGATGCCGTTGCTCGTCGAGCCGCGTAATGCGCAGCAACGCGAGGGTCTCTTCGCTGGTGGACGAGCTGGCGGAGGAAATTGTCTCGTCTTCGCCCCTCGGGGAAATCGTGATATTCGTTCTCCACGCGGCGCTGTCCCGTGAAGACGCCGGTGCTGAGGGGAACGGCCCGATTGTCGATGATTACGAAGCTGCAAGCCGGCCGATACGCGATGCAGAGGACGAGAAACCGAGGCGATACGATGCCGAGCAGCCTGCGGTGGACGTCGACCGTCACGACGGCGGCACCGTACGCCTGCAGGCTGATCAAACACAGGACACCAACGCAGCGTCCAGCTCCTCCGAGGACGACGATAGCGTTGACTGGGGTACATGGACTGCGTACTGGACTGCGGTGCAAGCAGCAGTGCAACAAAGCTCGTGGCGATAACGCGTGCAGATGTGACATCACACCGTGATCCGCACCTCACACTGTGAGGGGATACGTCGAGGAAGAGGTAATGGGGAGGAGTTCGCATGGGAGGGCATGAATTTACATATCTTGTAGGTTAATCGGCCCGATCCGGGCTCGTTAGACTAAGCGACTTTCGGCATAATCAGGGAAAATTGTAAGAGAAAGAGGGAGGGAGCAAGAGAGAGAGAGAGAGAGAGAGAGAGATAGAGAGAGAGATAGAGAGAGAGAGAGAGAGAGAGAGAGAGAGAGAGCTGTGTATGACACTTTTTCGACTTTAATCATTTGAACCGTCACGACTTTCCTCTCCCGACAGTTCATCGTCTTAACATGTGGTAGTGATCCTCCTATAAGCGAAATAATTTAATATTACACAGAAAATAGATTATTATTCGGCAGTCTTAACTCTATATGTATCTTACAATTACTTCTTACAATCGATAACTCTGTACAGAGACAAGAAAGCAGTCGAGTTGCGAGCTAAATTGATTTTTCCGTTTTGGAAAGGAGGGACTATTTGTACTTTTCTAGTTTTTATATGTGTCTTTGTACTGTTCGTTGCATACAGTTAATTTCGGATAAATCTGGAATAGAATGTATTCACTCTACAATATGAGAATATAAAATATATGAGGTAAAACACGTTTACGAAAGTTCCAAAGAGTTTTTCGCCGACGTCCGACGTGTTAGAACGCAATCGTGGGACGTTGAGTTATAATGATTGTAATAGAAGTCATAAGAAATTTCGCCTAGTACGTGTAACATTGGTGTAACTGCTTTAGGCTTAAGAATTTTACACAAGGTCCGGTCCACACGACTCGTCTTATACTTTGCCTCGATCAAGGAAACGTTTATCTAGCAGCAACTGAGATGTCTGTCGCTATGTCAACTCTGACAAAGCTTAGGTATCTCAGATAACGCGTATTTCTCCAGAAACGCGACCGTACAACGAAACGTAATCATAATCTATGTGCAATAAAACATATTGTTTTTTGTATCTTTCAACGATAATAATCACATCGCACTGAGCACGAGTCGAGTCATTAACGCAGCGAAATATCACATCTTTGTCGCATTTCTTTGTGTATCTTACATTTTGCATATATTTTTCTCTCTTCTAAAAACTGCGCGCTTTAAGATAAATTATTACATTGAGTAATGAAGTATTGCACAGTAAAAAGTTATACCGCGCAAATTTTCTGATATTGTACGCACAATTGTGTCTTCTTATTGAAGCGGACTGATTGCTTTGCCTATATATTGATTGCACAAAAAGCCCCGGCCAAAGAAATTGCGACGTGTGGACAGGACATCGATGTGTGATATGTGTATTATGCAATAAATTCTATTTGTATGCGCGCGCATGATATGCAATGTGCATTCATGCGCTGATTATAATTCACCTAGCGATCGATAGATAGCTTTTACATGACGATAGGGATGTTAAATAAATAAGCGACAAGACAAAATCCACGTCTTCCATTTTGTAGTCGGTTTGTTACTTTGGCGGTAGTAACCGCTTTACATGACATTACGTAAGCGATAAATAGAGCGATAAAGCACAGATAGTTACTTGTTGTTTAATGCGATAAGTCTTGGGCATGGAGTCCGGCCAGCACGTCATCGATCGTCATTGATTGCTACCGATCGAAGAGCTGTCGAGCACGGTATCGAAGCGGTCTCTCGATCGTACGACAAATAGTCGGCGCGTTCATTATCGCCGATTAAAAAGAAAAAAAGTTGTGACGCGACAATAAGACGTAGATCTAGAATGCCTATGCGATGCATTTTCGATCTTATCGCGCTCTCGGCTATCGTTCTTGCAGACGTACCCGCCTTCTCACCTTAGTTCGTTATCTGCAAACTTTTTAACACAACAGTGATTGAACAAAGAGTTACTTGTTGAGTGCCTGAGAAAAATGTTGCAACTATAATATATTTAATATGTAATAGATTCAGTGTCGCAAATGGAAGAAGAAAGCAGACACGCAATAATACACGTAACAAATATCTCGGATCTGCCGATTGTCGAGAGCATGATGAAGAATCGGTTATAATAATCCATTATCCAGGCAGTAGATGTAATTGCAATATAATCTGTAAATACTCACTGTGCATTCTCTAAAGTGATACGTAAGAAAAAGCTGAGACCCGAAATTCCAATTTTTTCACATTTATGTATCTATTAAATAAATACGCACGATTTCCAAGAGTTATTCATATGCAATGTAATAACGTAAATGAGATTTTATTATCCTCTCTACAAGTTTGACAAAAGTGAAAAATAATCAAAGTTACTTACTTAACTAGTTCTTCGATATATCCATTCATGTAAGCCTAGTTTAGCCACATTAATCTTCTAATTATATTTGTACTGTGTGCTGTGATTGTAAATTATGTATATATAATGCTAAGGTTTAATGTACACTTATGCTTTGTCATACGGTAATACAAACGATGATTGTTGGAATAAAAATGCTGAAGAGATTCTAATCATATTTCTTCCTATTTTCTATTACTGCAAAATATCTTCTCCACTATGTTAATGTAAAAATAAGTATTTTGTAGACAATAATGACAAAACTATACTGTACTTAATGCTAGAAGCTACTGGTTTCTATGGATGATAATATCAGCAATGCTACACTATTTATCCTGAAATAAAATATTGAAATATCACAGAAGATGTACCATTTGCTAAGAGTGCAGTGGTGCCTTTTATCAACTGATGATAATGTAGATCTAAAATATATATATACCAACTGTAGGTAACTGTTATTCGTACAATTTATTTTGTTGAACGATTGAAAATTAATAAACAATTATTTATCTTCCTGCAAAAATCAATATTTATTTGTCGTATCGTATCTTGCCATTGAGCACAAAAGATCAGTTTACAAGTAATCATGCATCTTTATATTTTTCATATAAAATCATGTTTCTTGATAAATATTTCTGTATACGACTATTTGCAATTTGTAAAATAATATTGTTGTGTTGCAGTGGACAGATTACTTAACAATCAATTCTTTTTCGTATATTTTACTTTCATGACAACATAATAAAATTTGAATCAACTTCGATTTTCTTAACGTAATTTAGAAGAAAATAATTTTAAACAAACGTCAAGTGGTAATTGGTTTTATCTAAATTATACAGCGCAACCAATTCTATTACGGTTTACGATGTATGGTCTATTTGACGCGATCGAACTAGTTTTTATTTCCCTGAGGTAAAAGGCAATCAGGAAGCCCCAATTTCATTACACTCTTTGATAGCTTGCCTTTTTTCTACATTCTATAGCTCAAACATCCCTCTATAAAAGCGGATCCAACGTCGGACAGGCATCAGTCAAGTTCCAACCATCTCTCGGATACAGCTCACTCCTTCAGGTAAAAGCACATCATGTATACTCTGTTTATAATCGCTGTAATTCGTGGTATTACAAACTTTTATAAAAGAATATATATAGAGGAACGTAAATTATATTTTTTGTTGCTAAATTCCGCTTCGATGCAACGTAAGAATTATTTTCGATTCTAGTAACTTCACAATTCCATGAAACTTATTGCGGGATTTTTGCAAGCAAGTCGGTCACCGTCGGATATTATGAATTTTGATGTTTCGCAACGAATCAATATCTCGTCGGGCAAACTCATTGATGAGTTCACTTGCAAATAATGTAGGTCGACTGCGTTTGATAGAGACATTTGTCTTCTGACCGCACCCGCTAGTATAAAAGCTCGCAGCTTTTGCTCCGTTTGTAACATTCGGTGGCCGACGATCATCTAAGAATCAGCCAGTGTTCCGCCCGTTCGTTCGCACGTAAGCTTTTTCGTTTGGCGCAAAAATGTATTTTCGTCGTGATTCTTTTTATAATTTGTCCGCGTTATTCCCAATAGAGTGTACTCTATGTACATTAATAAAGATTTATTCCTTCACGATGAACAAAGTGTGATCTCAAGTTTGCAAACGATTGGAATTATTAACTGCTAACAAGTAATTTATTGTTTCAGTCGAAGACAAGTCAAACCACCAATATGGTATCTGTTCGTCTCGCCCTCGTCCTTGCCGTTGTCATGGTAATCCTCGCCCTCAGCGTAGATGCTGCCTTTAGAAAACCACCCTTCAACGGTAGCATATTCGGCAAACGATCCAGCACTGTCACTGGTAAGCACAAATTATCGCAGAACGTCTTTTCAAGCTTGAATTTTACAATGTGTGTTAATTTTTTAATCTATCGTTGCTTACAATTGTATCCGATTGTAAAATAAACTCCATCTGTCGGATATTATACTTGAATAAAAATATCGACTGAGCATTTGTATATTTGCAACTATATAACATGTAACTATATTTAATGAAAAGTTAAATTGGATTTATACCTTGTCTTTAATTCTTCATTTGATTTCATATTTTATATAATTTTTGCAGAGATATTCATATTTTATAATTTTTTCAGAGATATTAAAAAGTAATAGTTATCTCAAATGTTTTGGGATAATTTTCCTTTATTTAAAAATTATTAATATTCGTAAAATCGTTCGAAATAAGCCAATTTTTCATTGTCCGTCTTTATCGCTCAGTTTTCATTGTTTTTTAGAAAATAAAACATATTAATTATTTCACTTAATATTTTCAGATTACGATGTTACCAGTCGCTCTCTGTCAACCATTTGCGAAGTTGCCAGCGAAACGTGCACTGCTTGGCTCCTTCGACAAGAATCCAACTGAAGATAAAAACGCAGATCCAGATGTTTCACGACTTCACCGACCGATCAACTCATGAAACAATGTAATCAACCGAGCTCCTGTAAAAACTCCTAATCGTGCGCTTGAAAGTTCGTCACATTGTCTCTTGCCAGTATTTATTGTATACGTCATATAAAAATATATATTTACTGAAACGATGTTGTGTAATTGCGATGGTTTAAGCTTCCTTAATTAGGTGCGTTTATTATAAATGTCACAAATAAACTATCATGATTTAAGGAGCTAATTAGTAGTGTTTATCTCATTTTTCGCCGTTTAATCTCTCTCCTCCGTCTTATTTTAATTAAACATGTGTTTACAACGAACGCTGTCCAATATAATTTTATGTTCGCGCATTAAAAAATAAAATCACGTATATTTCTTAATAATGGCCGGTCAAAGTCAGATATTAGAGAAAACAGAATACGCGCGCGCTTATTTCCTACTAACTCAAGCGGATGCTAAATTTGACGTAATTTATCAATCTTACGAGTTCATTGGGGCTCTGTGAAACGTCGACATCCTGAAATGTAGATCGAGGACCATTTAATATGAAAAGCACGTTCTCTCTCCATTTACCGGGATAAGGGTTACAACCTATTGTTTCAGATCGAGAAAAATGTTCACATGTAGATCAACTGTAAAAGTATTGACGCATATTTGATTCGCCTAACTTGTATGCAACTGTAAAATGTTTGACATTTATATCATAATATTTTACTTACGAAAATTTAACTATGATGAAATTTGCATTTACTACAAAAAAGCTTTTCGCGCCAAAAGGTTAATAAATTTTCTTCCAAACATAGTAGTGACATTTATATTTAATTAAATGATCGAATGAATTTTGCAAACTTTTCAGAAACGCACGACGTGTGAAAAATGCAAAATCAAGTTCTTTTTTATACATGATAATAAGAGATTGTCAGACACTCGGACAAACGAAAGACAATATTTCTCCCGCTGATAAAATCGACCGAATCGAATTTATTCTCCCTACTATACGGGAGTTCGTGTTAATCCACAAGCGGCACATGAGCTAAATATTTAATTGCTCTTTAATCCGATATAAATGTAGGATGCCTGATTACAGGAAACTCAGTACATCGAAGTTTATTTCAGAGGTAAGCGATATTATCCATTTAATACACTAATCAGACTTTATTCATTTTCTCTTGACACTTAAAAAAATGTACGCTTCTCAATGGAGTTCCTCTCATGTGTCTACGACATCAAATTAGAATAACCAATATTTTCTTTTGAGGAGCGATTTTGAGGGAGAAAAGTAAATGTCACTCCCTCTCTCGTGTCTGAATGGAACATACGCTTTCTACGATATTCCAAAGGAAATAGTGACCGCGTTTGAAAAATGAGCATTTCCATCCGCGATTTGCAACTAATGCAACCGAAATCATATATTGCAATCATAACTTGCATAAAAATAATTTTATTTATTGTATACTTACTTTTTCCGAACGATGCTCCCAGAAACACAAAACACAGATCTGAAGTGTAGAATATTAAGTGGAAAATCACAAAAATCGCAGAAAAAAACCTCAAATGTTAATTCTAACAATAAGATTGAATCCCTATCTACGCGGAAATCCCGATTTGTCGCGCCAAAGACGTTGTCGACCGCGCGTTGGTTATTTCGGAATTTTATTTACCTTTATTTACCTTTATCCGCGCCGTGGCCGAATACATAGCAATGCAACATCCCCTTTACATCCTACGACGAATCCATTCTGTAGAATGCATTTTATTCGTACGCGAGTTGCTCGGTTGAATATTCCTGCGCGTGTCCCGCGCACGGGGGAGAATACAAACAACCGGCAGAATTCAAATGCGATGAGGTTTCCCGAGGTGCAAACTCCTTGTCGACTCTCCTTCGCCCACAATCCTCGCAGCACTCTTCGTCCGCTCTTCGCGGTAATGGAAGAAGCCGTACGCGAAAAATCGCTCAGTGCTCACCGAACACCCGCGAGACGCGCATCCTTCCCGCGGGAGCTGACAGGATCTTCAGCAATCACTCACGGATCGGCCACGGATCGAGGATGCTACGTCGCGATCGGCAGTTTCTTATACGCCGCATTAATTGTTACGCTCGTGTTTGAGGCGCGTAATCGACGATGTGCTCTCCGGAGAAGAAGGATTATCCTCGAAGACTCAACTGCGTTTCATTCATTGCAGGTATTACGATTTGCTCGAGATGATGCTGCAAAGGAGTCACACTGCGGAGATGGGAGGTGTATTCTTTAATGGTGAGCTAATTATGTCGATGTTTTTTTTTTCTTTTGTGTCTTATATAATAAGTTTATCGAGAGGACGTGTGCTTGTGTTCACTCAAGTGCTAATTAAAAGATTGACCTCTCTGCACGTTGCCTATCGCAAACTTCACCTGACTTTGTTGATTTTGTAATAACGAAGCTCTTGAAAGATTTTTGGGGTATTGTGAGAATTATAGATCGAATTACAATGTATAATTCCGTTGTTAGATAGATGGGAGCATTCAAAAAGTGCCAGTTAAATCTCTTCAACGCAAGAAATTAATTCGTCCTCTATTCAATTTTTAAGAGATTTAACGTTATACTTGGTGCAATGTATTTAGCTCTTTTCGCTGGAGTGATTACATTGTTGATCTACCAAGATATCGCAAGGGCGGAAGAGGTGCCTGCCTTTTTTCTGAAGATCGCCAAGGTGCCAAATGTACCACGAGTGGGACGAAGCGGCAAGTTTGAAGATTTCTTCTACAAAGCCGAGAAGCACATACCACGAATTGGGAGAAACAGTCAGGTATTTGACGTATTTATTCAGCTTTCACTGAAAGATTGTCGCGCTACATAATGTTTGATTCACGCGTTTCAAGTTGAACGATCCTCTACCGCTGCAAAACGAGCAGGAGACTTATTCCGATTTGACGAAAAGGCGAATCGATTACACCGCCAAAGGTTAGATCTGTTTGTATATTCCTTCGAGTACGTCTGACCAGGTGATCCGTCAACCGATATTATTTTTATTAGTAGCTCAAGACGCATGGTCTTGGCAGAACTTCCCTCTTGCGATTGAAGGTCCGAAAGAATTGTGGCGGACATTAGCTTTATACGCCAGGGACGACAGTGATGAGTGAGTTTTGCAAAACCATATATCCTATATACGTCGGATATCCAACATATTTTTTAATCTCCGAATAAAACTTTGAGAGTATCGCGATCTTTTGAGACATAAAAATAAAATGTATCTTCGCACGTGCATACATGTACTGAATAATTGTTTAATTGGTTGAAGCATCGATAACGAAGTGTGGCACAGGAAGAAGAGAACTGGAAATAGACCGGTGCCCGCGCAAACTAATTAGCGCGAACGCAAGTATCCCTCGCGACTTTGGAAACGCTAAATGCGGAGCTTTAACCATTGCTGCTACGGTGACGGGTTTTAATTAAGAATAATAAATACGTAACTACGAAGAGCGGCTTCACCTTCATCCTTCTTCGGCTTCTCCACGTTGAATCTGTAATCCTTACCAGCACAGATGATTAGTCTTCTAAACTAAGTCGTAATTTATTGCTATTGGAAATATTCTACAAGATATTTGCGAAAAGTTCACGTTCGACGGAGAAATAAATTAACAATTTAGAATATAGAGATTCTTAATGTACATCATGTTCCAATAATGTTATTGACTGTCTTCGTAAATAGAGAAATGTTTACCTGATGACAATAAAATTTCGACAAATCGTACCAATTCTTTCCTCTCCTATCGCTCTTAACTTTTAACCCTTGATCGACCTTTCATTATTGAGATGGTTAATCCCATAAAACACACAGTTGCTTAGTTCACTCCACTTCGTCACGGACAAAGAGACATTATCCCAAATGAGATTGACGTCTTCGAGTTTATTCACATTTCGGATATTCATCGGAGAGAAGATCAGAGAGAAGATCAGAGAGAATGCTACGCCATCCACAAATTTCCGGGCGTGTTATCGATCCACATTCTTCAACGCGACAAAATCCTCAGCTATTCACCACTGACACTCTCGCATTGTTACGTCGCAGAAAGAGCCAACTCAAGGACAGAAGACTAGAAGAAAGCAGTGAAATAGGGCGAATGTTTGCTGCGAAAGAGCGAGAAAAGGTGGAAGAAAAAGTTGCACATGACAGTGACACAATAATACGTACTCATATCGCCCCCAGACGTCGAAATTGCGGACTGAGATGGCAGCAGGCTGCAACAATTGCGGGGAAAATAATTTTCTGCCGACCGCTGTATGTTTTGTCTAATTAATCTGATATTATGTTTGCACGGGGCACCTGTAATTTGCGCAACTTACGGAAGATCGCTCGTGCAATCGAACCGATACTTACACGAGGGACTAGCTTCTCGCTGGAAGGCGCCTCGCGCGCGGCAGTTGTTCGTTGAAATTGCCGATGCGGGGCATGCCCTCTTCTGCGCGCCAGCCGTCATGTGACAAATAACACTTCGCAATGGCATTACCGAAAACGTGCGTGCAACAAGCGGGGATCGATGTAATCGGCAATTATCAGCCACGCGTAACAATCGCGGCGAGTCACGAGAGCAGACTGCTGCGAGATGGACGTTGATACCGTCCGAAGTTGAAGACTCCGGGTGGCGGAGCTACTCTTATCGCTCGCGCGAGCGAGCGATATTTGCATGAAACCTGCTCGCATTTTTTCAAATGCGTGTAGCTTTCTAAAGACGACGAGAACTCCACGTGCATGTGCACGATCTCTCAACTGATAAGGATCTTTGACATATTTAAATGTGTACGGATATAAAAGTTTCCACCCTGCAGTTTTATGTGTTCCCTCTCTCTTCGCGGTATTCCTATTTTTTGATCGCAGCGCGATTACACGAGTACTCGAGTACCACCTGAAGCAATAATCAAGCGTTCGGCTACTTGGAGTCAGAAAATACGGGGCAATACCCATTTTGCGAGTACTCGTGTGATGAACAAAGCGAGCGAGTACCCGGGAAGTACCATAAATATTGGAGTAGCCCAGCACCCGGACACTGACACCACTGATATATAACGCTCGGTAAAGGAAAGCGAGAAGATCGTCAGTTGCATACACAAGACGTGAACGTGTAATTCCGCATCGACCGATAAACGGCGCCGTCCGAGACACGCAGCACCGCGAGGCGTTGTTTAATGTATACGAGATGCTGACGAGCGACGTAACGACAGGCATAGATAAATAGGAAAGTGGAAAGCGAGCGAGCGAGCAATGGCGTAGTGATTTCGCATGAAAACGAACGCGTGGCCCCCTCCGGTCGTCACGATTACGAATACCGCTCCTTATTAGAGGCAGCTTAGGCTTCGTATGAGGTGGAAGCGGTTATGATAATGAGGAGGCAGAACCTTCGCGGGCCACGTGATCATTTCCAGCACGTGACGATACGAACGTGGGTGGACTGGATCCGAATGAGGAGGAGTCGTCCTGATGTCGGCTCGCGCGAGGTAAACGCTCCCTCGCATCTGCCGTCGATAAATTTCCTTGCGATTCTTGATACCATAAGAAGTATCACACCTTCGGGGTTGATCAAGGATTGCGATCAGGTTGAAAATCTTCAGTATGATTATCATGTGATTATTATCGTATTATTATCATTACATGTCCTCAAAAAATTATCTTCTACTCCACTGTATATATTTTATTTTATTGTTAGTACAGTAACAGAGAGTTTTTAAATTTTAAATATCTATTTTTATCATTCATTGTTTAAACATATATCTATTTCTTAAATATCTAATATTCTTCATTAAAGTCTGAAAAATTATTAATCTTTTTAATTGTTATCTCAACGACGAATTTGCGTCATAATAATTTCAGTCGAGATATGAATGAAACCAAGTAGAAACAATTATTTATGATACTAAAATATCTTTTCATATTTTATTAGAGAGCATAAATATTAACCTTAGGAAAAACTTGAAGATAACTGCAGCTTAGAGTATCTCCTGCTGGGACCCAAGATGTCGCCAGCTAAAGCATACGATGTACACATTTTAAAGAGTTATCGTTAGATAGCGCCATTGATCCGTGAGGTGTAAGCCATTCTGCGCCATTGGCTGCTCCCTGTAACAATAAATTGTTGTAATTACAATAATTCTTGCCTTTAGAGGAACGCTTTGTGTTTAAGTCGTGCCGCCGCAACCGGTAATTTTAATTCATTATGCGGTAACCACGAGGCGATTCACTCTCTTGCCACGGTGACCCAAATCCCCGCAAGATTATCGGGAAGCGGAATCTCTCTCTCTCTCTCTCTCTCTCTCTCTCTCTCTCTCTCTCTCTCTCTCTCTCTCTCTCTCTCTCTCTCTCTCTCTCTCTCTCTCTCTCTCTCTCTCTCTCTCTCTCTCTCTCTGTCTCTTTCGTCCGCCATATCTTCAGCACAAGACGTTTCTGCGGTGTATCTTCAACTGTAAAATCTCCTCGAATGTCCTCATGATTTTATTTGTGCATTTTACCAATCAATCAAGCGAAATCGAAAATATAGACGAACCGATTGAGGAGCTTTAAATGATGGCGGTATAAACCGCCATCTCTTATAGCTTCAGCCTTTTAACTAAATATAGCTACACGTATAGGTCTGTTTATGTTTTAAGATAAGTATAGCTCTTAACTTCAACTGTTTGCGACTCGATACAAGTATAGACTCGATTATTTGCAGACGGTAGTTGCTCGCTCGTGAAAAGATGCGGATTATCTCCCGGAATAACTTCACTTTTCCGTTCTGCAGAGACAGATCACCTACACGCTCAACTTCATCCTTCGCGAAAGTTAAGAGGCTATGGTGATGATGAAGAAAACTCGGGGGAAAGTATCAGACCCTAAGTGCGCCTAAGTACGTGGTGATCCTCACATTGACTATTACGCCCTTCGCTGCGTAATTGTTCAATCGCAACGATTACCCCGTCACTTGCATGTCTAAACCCCGAAGCAATCCCTCCGTTGGACTGCAATTAAAATCCGCGCGCGTCGATATCCCTTAAATCCGCCGGCGCACGCACGAACGAACGTACACCTGCACACCCACCACCCATCGGCGAGAACTTTCCAAATAATTGCCCCGCGTATTATTTAATTTAGCTAATTACCGTTGCTCTCCCCGAACATACACGTTTACCGTGATCCGGCACGATCCCTTCGGCGGCGGAACATCCTCGCGCATCTCCGATTTTTCTCCCGCATTTTTTCGCACGGTAATCACGCCCGATGCATAATTCGCACGTGCACGAAACGTCGTTTTCTCCGCCGCTTTCCTCGTTCGCCACGTGCGGTTTTCGTGCGGCGATTTTTCCGCGCTCGCTTTCCCCCGCGGCGCGGCGCGGCGCGGCGCACTAGCTCGTGCGAGGGGGCGCCCTTTGCGCGCGCGAAATGCGTCGTGAGGATACCTCCGACCCTGCCGCTACGTCGACGGGTATGTACGTCGAGCGCGACGCGGGACGGTCGGGTTCGCACATAGCAATTTACGGAAACCGCACGTAACGCGCGCGCCGAGCCGAGCCGAGTCGAGCCGACACGAGCGTTTCCACGGAGTGTTACGTAACGGATCGACGTTAGATCGACGGTCGGAGTAACTGTATTTTCGAAGAAGCGACCGCCGAGGCAAAATCACAGAGCAAAACCTGGCCTACGGCCAGCCACCACGATGCTGGTGATGGTGGTGGAACGAAATATTGCTCATTTTTATGGAGCTGCTGCGGTTTCTGCAAGTCTATTTTGCTGCATCACGCAGCCCAATGATGTTCAGATCAATGCTTTCGGTCGCGATAACACAAGTATCGTGCTTCTCATCCCCGAGTTCCCGTCCGGCCTCCATTTTATTACACGAATCGAGGTTATCTTCCGTGTAAAACAAGTTCTCGGTTCGCGTAAGGGAATAGGGACCGGACGAAAAAAGGAAATACTTGCTGACGAGAAAAGATATCTGTTGCAGCGAAAGCATTCGCTTGAATACTCAGCTCGATTGGGATAACTGAAAATACTTGACTTAACAGGAATCTCCCTTTGACAACCGGGTTTTCGTCCCCAGATAACAGAAGTTGCACGAACTGAGGTTTTTGTGTATTATCCGAATATCAAAGATTTTGACGGAAAATAAATCTTAATCTGTGTCACACGATAGAGGACAGGCGAAGGACCTCGATGGCGAGGAGTATCTCCGTTATCGCGGTTTAAGATATTCGTCCAAGGGCATTCGATTGTTTTAAGAAAACTCAGTTGAGATAATTGAGGAATGTCCGGCATAACCGAGTACCTGAGTGACACCGGCACGCCTGAGTAACGACTGGATACCCATACAGCATTGCAGATAAAATTACCTAGTTTATACCGACAGCAATAATAAGTATTAATTAGGAAAATGAAAGATATGCGTTTCAACTGTTTCATCCGATGCGATCGAATGCATCGAGCTGCCCCCCCGCGAGCAAACTACGCGCCTCACATTCGAGATTATGATACAGTTGCAATACAGTCGTGTCATTAACGTGTTCGTTGTTTATCACACTCTTTGGTGAACTTAATATATGCCACGTGGCAGCTCTACATGCCGAGTCATCGTCGACTTTGACCAGATCGGTAGTCCGCACAATGTTGCGTGAGGAGCTATATATTTTCCCAGTCGTATTTAGTAATCTATTCAAATGACCGATTATTACATTTCGGCC